GAAGACGAAGAACCGTAACCGTGTAATGTAGTGATGTTAAAGTTCCTCGTTATAGAAAGCGGCCACCTTAGTCTTCAAATATAGGGAGTCCTGAAAATACCGTTACAGTAAATAGATTTGGATTACGAAGATAAGCATTTGTCAAAATATGTTAAGAAATATTGTTAGCTTTAGTGATCTGAAAATAACGTTTGAGAATGTATTTCGAGTGGATTAAATATACATAAATTATACAGCTATTTAATTTGTACAAGCAAGTTAGTTTTTAGAGTTAAAATGCCGCTTAACCGTCAAAAGCTGTAACAATTATAAATATGTATACTTTAGATAACCATAGCTTAGACCATGAGTTACTTAAAAACGTGATATATTAGTTTTCATTTGTCAAAATGGTTTTTTAATAAAATATTGTTTGTTTTATACGCCTTGTTGTTTAATTTTTAGTAATAATACTTTAAAATTTAAATACGATTTACTGAAAGAAAACTTATAACAGTGCGCTTAAAAAAAAGAACACACGCTGTATATACAAGGGCTGCTAACCTACCCTCCGAATTGCAAGATATTCTAATGCCAATGAACTTTCAATTTAAAGTACGACCATGATTTAAAGTACGGAGGAAAACCTCCACTCGGACCTTATCCGTCGCCGGCGAACCGGACGGCGGAGGCGCGCTTACCACCGCTGAGTGTGGCCGCGGGTGGACGGAACGAGTTCTCCCCTCCACCCACCATAACGGACAGCCGCGAGGAGGCTACGTCCGCGTATGCCGGACGTCGCCTAAATAGAGAATGTACCCGAAGGTGGTGCCCGCACCGTTGCGGGCAGGCGCTAGGAGGGGCCGGATGTCTTAATAACAGCAGTCCCCGGATCCCTCCTATTACAGGCGCAGAGTGGCACACCGTGTGGTTTTAGTCGGTCCGATTCCGACACACCACCTCGCCGCAAACCCCGGTGGGGTGACGGTCCGAGCGGGTTTCCACACGTAAAAAAAAATGGTAACCAGACTGCTGATAAACACACTTAAATACATCTAAATACATGTTATGGATAAAGCACACCCTGACGAAGCAAATGATCCTCAGACAATTATTTGTCCTGGCCCCATCGCTCAGCAGTCAGGATCATTAACCACTGGACAAACAGGCCCGTCATAAAAATAGGTTTAAGGTACAGTAATGAATGAAACAATTTAAACAGTCAGAACATCAAGGCCCGCAATCTTTGCACCCGGATGCGATAAAAAACAACGGAGGAAATATTGCACATTTTTTTTATTACTGTACAGATAATAATATAATTATAATACATTAACACGTACATCAAATTATTCGATATCTAGGTATTTGATAAATGATTTACTCATTCTACTTCCGAATATGTTATAGATTCCTTTTGCCTTGTGCTTTCTTAAAACTGTTTGGAATACATCATCATTATCAACATCAGCCTTTAATAAATAAACTACTGGACATGGGCTAACTTTGACTGCACGTATGACGTAGTGGTTTAAGCGATCACCTCGCCGCTTCCTACTGCGCTGACTGTTGTGGGTTCAATACCCACATGGGACAACACACACTGTTCGATACAGAAGTAGTTGTTCCGACTCTGGGTGTCTTTTGGGTCCGTTTCATGTATGTTTGTAAAGTCTTCCGCGACACGGAATAAAGATCCCGCGGAAGTTGTATTTAAAAAATAGAAAAATCGGTGTCTCTGTAGAAGTCAGGTGTCCTGCTTAGTTTGCTCCCTTCATCGGCTCTTACGACACGAGTCTTATGTCTCTACTGTTTTTAATCCCTTGACGCAAAAAGGAGCAGAGTTACAAAGAAGTTTAACGCGTGTGTTTAACGGCAACGCGCTTGTCACTCCTGAATTGCAGGCGTTTAAGAGCGGCGGTGGTCACCTTCCGTCAGGTTTCTGCCTGTTTGCCCGCTACATCATAAAAAGAAATCTGTGTGTATGTTCTGGGCGCTCTTAAGGTAAAGGTAACTTGATAGGGAGGGTTCTTCGCCATAATTATATTTTTAATATTTATTTATATTTTTAATATAGAAAAATTTATAAAATAAATTTCGAATTAACCAAATAATAAAATCCTCATCAGATAATCACTTTAAAGCCAATGTCAAAATAATGATTGGAGAGGGAGAGACAATGTAGGTACATTGTCGATAATAACTAATATATTATTTCTCAAGGCCCTGTAATAAATGGATTATATAAAGTGAGAGTATTAATTTTATCGGAGTGTGCCTGGAAGTAGTTTTAATGATAAATAAGAACACCCGGTTATCATTAAAAGCACTCATAGATTACACATACTCGTACATAATAAATAAATACATTGATGCGTTTAGAGGCCTTCTTGGAATTGCCAATCAAATGATAGTAATTAAAACATATCATTGAATTATTTGATTTAATAATCAATAATATTAGTAAATACTAGCTGTGTTCCAAACTTCGTCCACACTTTGAAATCGAAAATTATACCTGCGTTACAAAATTCTGACCAAAGTTTAAAGTAAACTGCAAATATCTTAAAATGCCTATAACTTACTTTCATAAATTGATATTCTTTGATTTGTGTTCTTAACACTCTTATTCAAGCCTTCATTGAATACGCTCATCGATCAAACTCATAGGTATGGTTTACTAATTTTTTACTAAAACGACTAATTTTCAATTTATAAGCCCTGAACATTTTTATGAACGAAATGTTATCACCTTTATCATGATAGTATGTTCAAATCGCGCCAAGTAGTAGTTAATTTACAACTTTCCAACATCAACAGTGTTGGGCCATAGCCCGTCAAGCATGATCACCTTACCTGGTCGGGGGATCAGAGAGGAGTGACATAATACCCGTACACTTTCTCCACATTTTTTATGATAATACTGACTTAGTATGATATTTTATTTTGTATGATAGTACAGACGAGCAGACGGGTCACCTGATGGAAAGTGACCATCGTCGCCCATGAACGTCTGCAACTCAGGAGTCACAAACGCGTTGCCGGCCTTTTAGGCAGGAGTGCGCTCTTTTCTGAAGGTTTGAAGGTCGTATCGGTCCGGAAATACCGCAGACGATAACCTGTTCCACAGATTGGTTGTGAGGGCAAAAAGTGCCTCGAAAAGCGCACAGTATAACTCAAAATATGTGTCAATAGCAACACATTGCCGATGTTCTGTGTTTTAATTTTATGTTATCAGAACCGTGTATCACTTAATCCGATAGCATGATAAGACAAGATTAGTTATTACTCTACAAATTACTGTTGAATCATCTAAAGATAATCAGAAAACTGTTATTTGTTGGGTAACATATACCGATTTAATACGAGTTATCCTCAGTGGCACGCCTTTTATTTATCGAGTCAGACGTCTATTTCGACCTAGTCGCCCGTAAGTAAACCGCGTTCAACGGGTTTAGTCGAGTCAAACGTACATCACTGTTCCGGAATTTAACGAGTGTTTTAAGGTGTTCTTGATTTTTTAATGATAAAGTAAAATCCTAATTACCGTGTATGTGAAAAGGAAAAGTTATTTTTCTGTGAGTGCGTGTTCTTATTTCTCTAACTTTTTATCTTTCGAATGTGATGTATATCAATTTTGAAGTCTTTTCATGACTTCTGGACGCTGGTAACTTAGGAGTACATTCACCATAACTCACTTTTCCACTAATAATTATCAATTTTTTATGGGATGGGTGAGGGGCAACGAGTAGACGTTGTACGTGACTACCGCCGCCCATGGACATTCATTTTTTTTCTCTAATCTGTTACTCAAGAGCCGCAAGTGCGCTGCCGCCCTTTAAGTCCCCTCCACGGAATCAAGGTTGGGTAGAAGTTGGCCTCCTGTAGTCTCCCTCACTTGGTAAAAAGCACAGGAAGTATTGCTCAGCTGTGACCACTTTAAATTTTCAGAGACAATCAAATTAAAAATGCCACTATGTACGCCGACAGTATTGCATGCCGTCCGTGGTGATTTTTCAATTTCTTTGAAACTAAATTCTACATTTTGAAAATATATAAAACTCAGTTTTTCTACATGCCATCTATAGAAACCCTATATATTTCTCGATAAGTCATGGCCATACAATATACGATAAACAGATGTATGAATTTAATAATAATCTAAGAATAAACTTTGCAATTTTCCTTAAAGGAACAACTACTCATAATCTTGCTGTGGCATTTAACAAACATTGCCTTCAGTCCGATTTTGCATTCGCTTTTTTGTACATAAATATTATTGCAATCGATTATGTACAAAAATGGAGCCACTATACGATTTTACAGACGGTTTGATATCTGAACTCTTTTACTTGACTCAAATTATATTCAAGAAAAATACTATTAAATTAGTTAGGAGGGGACTTTTTGGTCATTTTTATTTAGCTCACAATTGTGTTGAGCTGTTCGTTTCTAGTAAATATCATTATAAGTTTATATCCGAATCAATACGATTTCGTATTTGAACTAGGTACTCTTTGACTACGATCGCCAAAATTGCAACTATAGTGATAGTTGGTGGAAATTGGCAGCAAGTTTCGGCCTGACGTCGATTGTAAATTTGTAAATAACAACACTGATAGAAGTGGAATTACCGTTAATACATCCTTATGGGGGAAGTAAATGGCAATATAATTACCGTTACGCACATCGTTATTTTATTCCTTGTTGAAAGAATACGTACTTTACATTTACTTTTCAATGACCCGGGTATCATTTGTTTTAGACACAAAATGAAAAATTGCGCCCTATTATTGTTTGAAATAATTAATTATAATAATAATAACAAAAACATTTTGAGGAAGGCCTTTTTAGGGGTGTAGGAACATACACAGTGCAGAAAGATGTGTTATTTCCTTAATAAATATTAAATGAATTCCGGTCAAATTTGAACTCTAGGCCATATCATTATGTATGAATACTGTATGTTTTTACAGGGGTAACTAAATGCGCGTGAGCGCATTTCCCATCAACGCATGTAGATGGGCCTGGGATGTAAGAACGCAGCCGGTGGGCGAATATCGCGTGCCCTGCGTCTGCTAGTGCTGATCGTTCTCGCTCTCGTAGCCATTGAGTACGTCTACGGCTGGATATTTGGCGCTACATATATCAGAACGTATCTCTCCGCTCGTCTCTACAACATCACCCAATTTACCTTCAGGTGCCTAAATTCTCATTTTGAATGTCAGCTCAGATTTGTATTACCTATGTTTAGCTCTGATGTGTGGTAGCAAAGTGCGTCTAAGCAAACTCTTCGTTAAACGGAAACTTTTACTTTACTCAAACAGGAAAAATAATGTTATTTAGTTAGGATAGAGTTCTTTGGTTATTTTTATATTCCCTACAGTTGTGTTGACTTGTTCGTTTCTCGGAGACTTCTTTTTAAGTTTATACTTGAATCCCCGCAACCCACCATGTCATTTGAAGAGTGACTGCAGCACTTAAGAACAGCAAGATCAAACTACATAAAGCAAATACTCTGATATGATTCCCGGACTTCCCATGACCTCGATTTCAATACTCAAAAGCCCTAGATGGTAATTTATCGATATCAATAAGTGCACGTAGAAATTGGAACTGAGATTGAAAATAATATTTTTTACAAAGAACACGCATAGTCCTCGATTACTGACTGCCTCCACGCCGCTTACTACTAAGCTGAGTGTTGTGGGTTCGATCCCCACTTGGGACGACACTTTGTGTGATCCACATATTGTTGTTCTGAGTCTGGGTGTTCTTCGTGTCCGTTTCATGTAAGCGATCACCTCGATGGTGACCGCTTAAACCTCTACGCCATCCGTGCAGTCCGTGCCATTCGTGCAGGTTATACAGAATACGACTGGAATCAACCATTTCATCAGATATCGGTGAACGAGAGAACAACTAGGTTTAAGGCAGAAGCGAAAAGCGACAGAATTTTAATTCAACCGACTTGGTTAAGACCAGAAACCTTTATTCCTGGAAGAATAGATAACTAGCATTTAGAAAAATACAGCTAATATGGGCTCCAAAAAACATTGTTAAATGTATTGCTAACATTTTGTTACGTTAATATTTTCCTTCTACTATCAAAAGCATTGTTAGAAACAAACTGCCATGCCATTATGCTACGATAACCTACCTATACGATATCCTGTTCTAACAAACCGAATCTTTTCTTGTAATAAATGAGTAGACTATATCAGATGTATGTTTTTGCCAAAAATAATTTTAAATATAATTCATTCATTCCTTTACACCTTTCAGAGACAATGAAACACAAATTAAAAACGAAACTGCAACAACGAGACCGCTACCGGGAACATTATGTGACTTAACGCCCTCGGGATTAGGTAAAACTTTCGTTTTTATATATATACATACCCATATCTTTTACTCAGTAATTTGACAACTTAAGTAACGTGGTCACAGGTACGATTCAATTTCTCTGTGCAAACACACAGAAATTGAATCGTGCCTGTGACCACGTGTGTAATATGAACGCATTTTAAATGAGGAAACGGAACTAAATTATAATTCGTGACAGTAGTTACAGGGTACAAGTCGTTTCTTGGTTTCCTTAAGTTTTTATGGAATTACACCGACTTAGTCACGAGTGGCCTCTTACGCATCTAATGTGCATAATTGTGAAAGTTTCAAGAAAAGTGAACTGATAGCCAACTCTAGGAAAGTGTGCGCTCATTGGTCATATCAAATCGCTTCCCTGCGGGGAATTCGGGCATTCCCCGGGGAATCGCGTAACAGGAAACTGACTTTCTTTTGTATACGTATATCTCTTTTCACTCCCTTGTTGTGAAAAGGATGGAATAAAATGAATCACAAAATAAATATTTGAGAACCTCAGATTAAAGAAAAGGGGAAAGAGGTTATACATAAAAAATAGAAAATTTATTCGTTATCCAGAACCAAAACTGAACTGAACTAAGCTACCCACGAAACTTGGTCTCTCAAGAAGATTTTTTTTCAGTTTTTGCATCATTTTTCGTTGATGCTCGGCTCCTATTGGTAGTAGCGTAATGTTATAGCATAAAGCCTTCTTCGATAAAGAAGCTATCCAACCCTAAAATAATTTTTCAATTTGAACCAGTAATGAAATGAAATTAAATGATGAAATGAAATGATATTTATTTCTGTAAGTAAATCTTTTCAGATATTTTTACAAGTCGGACTTTATAGCTAGAAGGAGCCGGCATTTCCTAAGACTCACTCTGGGAAGAAACGCCGAAACAAACCACAGAGATGTCTTTTTTTTTTAAGTCCGTAAACAAAGTTAAATAAAACTGTGCGAGTACAGTATAGGGTCTGGATAGGCCTTTTGAGGAAAGGACCATAGTTTTGAGTCAACCTGTCCATACAGACGGCATACAGGCTCCATCCATCGTGTAGCCTAACCGATATTGGTCAAGATCAACGACCCGAAGCATGACACTACCGCCAGCAGGACATTTGGGTAGGCCGTGGAAACACTCAAAACCACCAGAAAGATAATAAAATATGAATTAACATTACAATCCTACACTGTACTCACATTTACATACTTACACAAATATTAAAAAAAATACTATACAGTTCAAAGTCAACGAAAAATAAAATACAAAAACAAAATACGAAATACACCAAAAAAAAAAAAAAATTAAATGTCCATCACTTTCAAACTTAACAACAAAGATGTCTACGTAAATGTGGGAGTGAGCAGCATCAATCCCAAGCAAATTTGTCGTCTAAATAATCTGTAATAGTGTAGTAAGCCTTTTCACATAGTTTTAGCTTTACTAAAGAGAAAGAGTAGTTCCTAAGATTCCAACTTCAGCTTATACCATTAGTATAATTTAAAATGCACAAATATTACACAGAAATAATTAAGATGATGATTTAAATAGTACCTACCTTAATATTTTTGTACATGTTTCCAGGTCCCGTGCGAGTTAATAAGACAGAGGTGGAGCTAGCCTCACTTGAAAATAAATTTCCCGAGGTCGGACTGGGCGGTCGATATACACCGCCTAACTGCACTCCCAGACACAAAGTAGCCATTATTGTGCCATACAAGTAAGACTTAAAAACACCACTAACTATCTTAAGTCTTATAGTGTAATGTGTGTCTACACATTCGTATAGGGGTGGTGACACTCCGTATTATTAATCCGTGTCACCACCCCCAGTCATCCCGTAGGTGTCGTAAGAACCCATTAGAGGAGCAAACTATGCAGGACAACAGCACTGCGAAAAGAAGGAAAACTTGATACAAACCCTATATCAACCAGTCTGGCCAACGGGGTATAGTAGGCCCAAAACTCCTGTCTAAGGAGATGCATATGTCCAGTTGTGTCCATAGACTATTAAAGGCTGTTGATGTGATAAATCGACAGTGTAGGAAGAGGATAGATCAGGTTAAGAACTGTGAACCTTAAGCATAAATGTAAGATTATTTACATTTACGTACGTTACGTTTGATTTGATACTTACATATTTTCGCATTTGTCTGTAGTTTGAGAAGGACATGATTATACGATACTTGTACGTAAAACTTTTTTTCTAGTCTTATTATGTATACAGACACATATTCACACGAGGGGTTAGCAGATGCTTAGTACACTTCCCCATTTTCCCAACTACTAATTTAATCCCATTATATGTCCCATAGGTAACCGAGGCACTTTATGAAGTACTTAGACGGGAATTGCCACCTCAATATGATGGGAAAGGTACTCATCGGTACTCTAGCAGTATTCTTCTTTGACAGAAAAGCCGAGAAACTTAAGCCCGGCCTACGTTTCTTAGCGTTTCTATTTTGAAAACCAATGTACTTTGATTTATTGACCGCAAATTATATTCCTTCTTCATCTAAAAAACAAAATTTTGTCTTTATTGTCTATGGTTATGTATGCTGATTCAACCGACAAAGTGTTTGGATTGTCTTATTGAAGGGAGCATTCATTAATTACGTCAGTCAAGGGAGAAGATCGAGCTGAATCTCAGCAAATAACACGTCTTCACGTCTTTTATTCGCACGATACTGTTTTAAAGTTTCTTTTTTCATTTACAACTTTAATCAGTCTTAAAATAAAAATACTTAAGCTAATTATGATTTTTTTAAGTTACTCACTTTCATAGTGCAAAATTTAAGATTTTTCTTTAAATAGGATCTATGTATAAATTTATTATTGCAGAGATCGAGAGCAACACTTAGCAATATTTCTGAGCCACATGCATCCATTCTTGATGAAACAACAAATCGCATATGGAATATTCATTGTAGAACAAGCGGGTATGTTTATATATGTGAACTTCTCATAAATTGTTCCTTCTAAATTGACTTTTTAAGTGAAGAGTTTGCGCACTTAATTCGATATGAAATTATACAGGCTAACCAACAATTACTGTAGATTTTCATCAAATTAATTATTGGTTCGTACAGTGCTACAGTGCTTTCTAGTGAAACCAAATTGAACTACATTGAAACTAGATTCTATATTGCGCAATCAAAATTCGCGGCGCACCATGTTAGCAAACCCAGTCAGAGTACCCAGACACTATTATATATCTAATACTAGCTGAGACCCGCGGTGTTACCCGCGTTTTTTGTTATAACCGCGGGCAACGCCGCGTTGCGAAGCTAGTCTAAAAAAAGTAGCCTAAGTTACTATTTATGTCATCAGCTATCTGCCAGTGAAAGTCCCGTCGAAATCGGTCCAGGCGTTCCAGAGATTACAAGGAGCAAACAGACAGACAGACAGACAGACAAAAATTGAAAAAAATGTTATTTTGGCATATGTACCGTGTAAACATACATATGCATTTAGTAAAAAGCGGTTATTTTAATATTACAAACAGACACTCCAATTTTATTTATTTGTATAGAAGATAACCATCTGTTAGTATAATATATGCATGAATTAAATTTTTTTAGGTAGCAAAAGCTTCAATCGCGCTAAGCTGTTGAACGTGGGCTTCGTTGAAAGTCAAAAATGGGAGTCTGGTGGATATCAGTGCTTTATCTTCCACGATATAGATCTACTACCGGAAGATACTCGCAATATGTACTCGTGTCCAGAACAACCTCGCCACATGTCTGCCGCCATAGATAAGTTCAAATACAAGTGAGTTAATACTTCTCATACTTAGCAGCAAGATTTCGTGAAGCTTTTTTGAATGTGTAGCAAGTGGTTAATCGCAAGGTTTGTTTCCGTTGCATTGCGACAAAAACTTGAGTAGAAGAGACAAGAAAATTATTGGAAAACGAACTATTTTCGCACAAAATTGTATCGGTACTTTTCGTGTATAAAGATACGTTAGGTATTGCATAGGATACGTTGAATTAACAGTAGCTACAGCAGAAGCAATGAAATCATCGTAATGAAATAATACATATTTATTTTATATATTTTTATTTATTCATGATTTAAAGATATATGTATTAAATTCTTGACTTCACATTATTTTTAAGATATAGGAGACAAAATCCAAAATATTCTGTCGCAATACATGGCATGGTCTTATTATATATCAAACAGCAGCCAACCTAACAAACTGTGCACCTTCTATATGTATCCGTATATCCGTAATATCCGTAAATGGATTATATATATAATATCGTAAAATTGCTATTACTAATTTGTTAAGAATTTTCATCATTTTCATCTTGAATCGACGAATATCTTTTATTGAATTCGTCTTTTGGATCGTGCCATAAGTAAACTAAGCCGGAACGACGAATAATCCAATCCTAGGCGGTGACTTGGAACCTGACTTGTTTTTAAACGCTATTCACAATAAAATTTCGCAAAAGGGAGCTGAAATGAATTTTACTCATATTTCCAGGTTACCTTACCAAACGATATTTGGCGGAGTTTCGGCCCTCACTGAGGAGCAGTTTAAGAAGGTGAACGGTTTCTCAAATAGGTACTGGGGATGGGGTGGAGAAGACGATGACATGTATAAAAGGTAAAGAATATCTAAGTATTACCTGCAATGATTTCAGCCAATAGAAATTCTTCTAATTTCAGCCCTCTTAGCTATACAAACACAAGAACTTATTAAAAAATGTTTAAAAAATAAATAAAAGAAAATATTTTTTTAACAAATCGGATAATAAGTAACGGAGTTTTGAAGCAACAAAAACATACATCAAAAGGTACAGCCCCCTCCTTTTTTGAAGGAGGTACAAAAATGAGAAAGAATATACGTGCAACAACTGTAACACTGTTGCTGAAATTAAGCATTGTTGTATCAAAATTAATTATAATAAATTAACCATATTGTCTTCCAGACTGAATGCAATGAATTATAAAATATCCAGATACGAGATGAACATAGCAAAGTATGTGATGTTAGACCATAAGAAGTCAGCACCTAATCCCAAGAGGTAATGTACCATTTGTAGCTCGTAGAAATCAATTGATAAAATTACTTCATAACAATTTTTTAATAGAATTGAGACACTTACTAGGTACGTTATCTTTGAAACTGATTGTTGTTAATAATTTAAAATTTTAAGTGTTAAAAACATAAACAATTTATTTCTTAAATTTTAGTAGGTTACCTAACCGTAACAATTGACCACCTACAGACATTTTAAAATAGTAGTAAATGAGTTTTGAACTACTTACGGTTATAATAAGAAGCTTGGTTTTTACAATTTCAAGTCATCGTAAAGAAGTATTTAATGTTAATTTAAAACCTCCACGTCTTCCTTAGAAATAGTCTTGATAAGGGTTTGTGTTACGTTCTAAGAAGAACTTTAAATATTATTGAAGCTAAATAATCGTTTTGCCTCACAAAACCAATCTGCGGGCGAAATAGTCGCCCGCGATATTTCCTGGCCGATACAACATAATTTTATTATATAAAGTCGCTGTGATCTGATAACAAGTTACTGATTAAAATATTTTTTGTTTTCAGACAGTCAATCCTGAAACAAACTGATAAAGTATTTAAGGAGGATGGTCTATCAACGCTAGAATATGAACTAATCAAAATGGTGCGTTTCCAGTTGTACACGTACTTAGTAGCAGATATAGACAAAGAGAGCTGATGGACATTTCACCATTTTTTTTTTGTTTTTCATAAAAAATGTTTAATAATCGATAAATCGCGCCAAATGCTAGTAGACCTATAGTAGTGGTATCTACCCTAGTAGTAGATTCAACGTGCGGGTGCCGGGTCCATCGTTAACTGTGCTTAGAAATGTGACACAATGACATGCGCAAGGACGTGTGTTATATTTCCAACCGCAACCGCAATCAGATAATTTGTATCGTTTCGCGAATATGCACATGGTTTTTCGATTACGAAAATACTAGGAATTTCACATATTTTAAGAATGTAATTATGGAGTGTAGAGGCGAGGAGAACCATCTAATAATTAATCGGGAAAAGTTGAAAAAGTGTCCAGCTGTATACTGAAAATAGAGGTCACTGGCGTACGAAAAACTACGATATAAACATAGCTGTTGTAGACGAAGTGAAGTGTGCTGAGTTCAAATATTTTAAATTTTATTAGTCTAACTTATTCGAATTAGTTTAGGATCTTTTTTAAAAGTTTATCTTAGGCTACCGCAGCGCCACCTTTATCGGACGTGTTTTTACTTACACTTTTCATACACTTGCCTCTACCCTCCATAAATGTAATGTAACAAATCGTAAAATATTAAATTGTTTAATTATACAGAAATATTATAATATATTGTATATTGAAATATTGTAGGTATTATGAAATATTGTAGGTATTATGAAATAATGTAGAATAAGGTTAAATGGTGATGAGTATGAAACAGTGATCATATATCTACTTACTAAGCAAGTAGACTATTTTAATAAGGTTTTTTTAAGTACAGAGGCAATATATCCACATATTTTATACGGCACTGACTTAAAGCAGCAGTTGTAAATAATAGTTTTGGTAAGTTGAAATTACAACATGTATAAGTATTTATTAACAAGTTCGACAGTAAGAAATGAGTCATAGAAAATTATTATTAAAATAACTAAATTGGCGTTACGTGTGGGCAGTTTACAGATCAGAATTCGTCGGTAAGAAACCTTATTCTATGCAGTTCTATAAACAATGAGGAGGTAAAATGTTTTCCTCATATAGCAAGCTTATTAATGTGACAGTATGGAATATTGTCAAACCGAGTTGAATCGGTTTGACAATTCGTGCGAATCGGTTCCAAACCGAACCGTTGAAATTGCAGTAAACCTCGGTTTGAACCGTTTGATGAGTTGACCAGTGAATGTAACGTACGAAAGCCATGTGTAACATAATTCGACAGGATCAACTAAACCGTCGTTTTAGGATTTGCCAACGGTTGGCAACCGAGTTTACATGCAAGTGTAAATCTTAACATTACCTACACTAACCGACGACCGACGCGGCGACGGTACAAATTGATTGGTATTTTGTTGAGAGCTAAGGGTAATACAACAAATTACCCAGTCAAGTAACACGATCACCATGCCTTCTTTTTTCCTCATGTTTTGGATATAAGAAAAATATGTCCGTTAGATCCGAACCGTTAGTAAATCGGTTTATGTATTAAATTATTATATTCGATTTTGTAAGAATATAATTATATAGTTTGTGCTTGTACTTGTAGATAAATTGATAAATATTTAGTGTCGTGTCGCGTCGACTCGGTTCAGAATCAGTTGGTAGCTAAATCAGTTTTGTTCGGTCGGTAAAGCAGGAGAGAGCAGGTACGGCGCGAAGTGCAGCGCGATCTTGTAACACGGTTCAACCGGTTTAAACCACTGGCAAACCGATTCAACTCGATTCATGGTCTAACTGGTTTAAATCGGTTTGAAAAGTCGAGTCTTCACACCACTAAGCAAACTCGTAGGTAGCAAGTCGTTTCTGACGGGTTTGCGGTTCTAACCTAACCTACTTTTCTGGTAGCAAGTTGTTTCTGATGGGATCGGAATTCTAACCTAACATACGTTCTGGTTGCAGCTCGTTTATGATAGGGATTCGTTTTCTTGTGGGGTTACAGTTCTACCTCTATAAAAAAGTTAAACAATAATGCTATATTACTAGTAATACTTTGCTATAATGATTATTCAATTGGCTAATCTGAGCGTCCCTCTAATTTACATCGGATTCGTCGAACCGATTGAAAAGAGATGTAAATGAGATGTGAGTCCGCTCCTTGTGTATTGCCGAACTATTTATCTAACTGCCCATTTCATCATTTTTACTGGCCACTTATTTATTACTACTTACGTATTTTAGTACTGATATTGGCGGATGCAATAACCGGCCAATGTTTTTATTTTTATTTTTATCCATGTTTTAATTGTCGCACTAATTTATCAGCCGCCTGTGCTGGTAAATAAAATAACTGTCCATAATCATTTTCAACTGATCATAATACCCTCTCGAATGTTTAAATAACAGTTAAAAAAAATGCCCATTCTATCAATCCCATTTTATACATTTTTTTTTATACATTATACTTTTAAACAGTTATTGTTAAAAAAAAGCATACGTTAAACTCATATTGATATCGTACTAGCATAACTAAAGTGTACTCTTATATGTGAAAACTCACGTTTGACAAAAAATATCGCTACAGCTAATCTGACAAGAAATGTGTCATGAAAATGTACTAACTGACTATTTATCCCTACACAAACTGTGCCAAACTAGAACTTCCATAAAACTTTAGGATACATTTTAACGTACATCTCACGCTCTAAGAAAAAATCAAATCGCTTCTAAGAGAGGGATCTTAGTATCTCTTATAGAGATTCTATAATATACTTTTGTATAAGTGACTAGAATTTACTCGCTAGTAAAAGTTGGTCCTCTAGGATTTTTTCCTGGATATTTCACGGTGATCGTGTGAACGAAAACTTATAACTATCACCAACAGAAGGATAACTTGACACAAACATTATACCAACATGTCCGGGCAGCGTGGTATAGTCGGCCAAAACCTCCTTTCTAAGGAGAGGCCTATTGACCAGCAGTGAACTAATAAGACTAAGGCAAGCAGGGATATTATGTACGAACGAAAGCAGGGCGTATAATAAGAACAAATGAACATTGAAATTTATACATAAGATGATGAGACGGTGCATGCTTAGTTAATAAGAACTTGGTTATAAGTGTCTATAATGCATAAGCTAAATAAAATTTTTGTATTATTATTATTAATACTTAATTAATAATTCTTTACTTTTGAATAAAAATAAATCCGGATGATTCTGAAAGTTATTAATAAATATTTAAGGTCACAATGCAATAGATTCAGGAAGTATTCTTGGGTCAGCCGAGATGATCAAAATTTGGCGGGCGGACCGCGGCCCAACCGTTATTGTTGGGTAGTTGTTTTTAATGTACTTACATTAGTAAGTACATTAAAAACAACTCATTAGAGCATAACTTTCAAGTTTTTTTCGATAGGTGACATTATAAGTGAATTGATTTTAAAATATTCGTACCTAAAGTACGGAGCGATCTTGGTAAATTATGATGCTATAATCTATTCGCCTTCAAAAAGCAGTGACGCATCGATCAAGCCCCGTACCTTGATCAATCAGGTTCCAAGCTAAGGATGTCACTATTTTCTTAACGCAACTTCGTCTTGTTTTCCGATTGAATTAATTGAACAGATAATTATTACAAGGGATATGAGTTTCAGATTTGTGGATATAAGTTTCAGGATATAAATTTAATGGTTTTGAATAATACACCGACTATGTTATTTCCAAATAGAATTGTATTTTCAACAATGAGGCACTAGAATTCAATACCAAGTAAAAATAAAGTTCATGCTTTTAGGTAATTTATTATCCATAATAAATAATAATTATGGATTACACTGTGGTAAGACAAAAAAAATGGCGACGAGCACTTGGCGACATCAAAAAAATACTTTCACGATTACTCAAACTTGGAACTTAAACACGGGAAATTTTTAATTATTCAAAATGTACTTTTCAAAATGGTCTCATGACGTCTTGCGAGTGAATCGCTGGAATTTTAAATACAAAAATTGGTCGGTTGCTTAATTGGAGGGATGCTCGAAGGCCGGCGGCAAGCTGTCTCGGGAGCCCCATAAGAGGTGGACTTTCTCGCCAAGAAGTGCGTCGTAAGTACCACGATGGCGCTGGTGTGCAGGCGAGTGTCAAGTCCAGCCAACTCCTCTCTATATCGAACTTGGCTCTAGAAATAAAAGAAACAGTAACTATATCAGTTTACACTGCTGTTCATTGGAGATAAATGATTGTAAAGAGTTCCAACCCGAGAAAATCTAAAATTGCAGTGCCATTTGAAACAGAAATCGTCTGAAGTTAAAAGAGTCATCCAAGTTGTGTTATTAGGATATTCTATGAAACTTCCATAAATCTGTTTTATTAGACAATAAGGACATTCAAACATGTTGTGTATGTAGTTTTATTTTCATCAACACAAGTCACATGTAAAAAAAATATTAAGCCGTAAAACTCGCCTTATCATTGTTACCTTTTAAAGAAAATAACGCGTCTATGGCATTGAGCTAAGGGGCTTTTAAAACACACTCTTACTCACTTCTCTAATTCTCTCTCCTTCTCCTTTTCTTTGCTTCGTTTCGGTTTCCGAGTGGGCGTCGTCGCTCTAAACCTATAATATTTCGGCATCTTTCAATATAAATTTTGCAAAAATGTTAAACAGACATGCATACGCTTTGATCCCAAAATGTCATTATGTGTCATTAGCAATTTTTTTTATGTTTTGGCATTGAAAATGGCCATGCATTCTCTTTTGCAATACTATAAATATTGCTGTGGAAAAAGTAAACCACTATCTCTTTGGAAGAAGAAACTTATCTATCACGTTTAGAAATGTCACTTTTTATATCAATATATTTTTTGAAAATATTTTTTTTAACATTTTACTTTATTACTTTATAAAATATAATAAATTTGTAATTCTAATTAAGTTATGGCGAATTTGTCGCTTCGGATGTTATACTTTTGTCTGTTTGCGGCTGTTCTTATCAATGGATCGAATTACATTTTCATGAGGATCTTTTATCCGGGTGGCAAAAGAATCTCAAATTATTATTATCCTAAAACGGAAAGGTAAAGTAACTGACTCGTAACCCAACTTCTTACTCTCTCTTTTGCGCTATATAACATTGTTCAAGGAAAATGTACCTACTACATACCATATATCAAAAAAATTGTTTAGGTACTAGCATGTATTATACATGTAAACCTTTCTCTTGAGTCATTCTCTCTATTAGAATAGATTCTCCATTAGACTCTCTATTAGATATAGTCATTATCTCTCGTATTGAAATCCGTTACCTAGTTTAAAAGATCGCGTACAACACAAAAAAAAGCGACTTTATTTTATGCTATGTGAAGATTACAACACCATTCGTGTGGCGACGGCTTAACAATACGGAGTGAACTGGCCAGCTTGGTATAGTAGGCCAATGTCCAGCAGTGTACTATTAAAGGCTGTTGATGTATGATATGATGTGAATGATACGACAGGCCCGTTGATCTAGTGGTTAGCGATCTTAAGAGCATAACATAAAGAATAGAAAGCTTAGAAATACGTAAGTATGTTTATCAGCAGTCTACTTACCATAGTACAGACTCTGCCTAGTTTGGGACGAGGCTGTAGTATGTGAGATGTGCAAAGTTATTATTTTCACTCTTATTATGTTATTATTATTCACACTCTGCTTCACAAGTCATTGCTAAGGTAGGTATTCTTGTGTCTTTTCATAAAAGCATCTTGTATTTTACAAACTATATCATTAAATAAGATATTAGATTTTTATGTTCAAGTGGAGCGTGTAATTGTTAACTTAGTTATTTATAGAAAGCGTTTTGTACTTTTGAAGATATCTTTGCATTATTTTCCACAGTGGTATGGCAACGGACCGTTCTCTACTATATTCAGAAGTATGGTTCAGAGGATTCAGATCGAATTTTAATAACGAGATGATCTCCACTATCGATCACCATGAGATTTTACACAACAAAAGTCTTAATGCTACAGAGTTACATGACGTGGTTGTTGAAGTCAGTCGTTGTCCAGTGTTACCTCCAGGATTAGGTATTTATATATTATCGAAATTGTGTATTTATGATCCGCAAACATTTGTTTCTGTGATTATAATACTTATGTATGTATTTACAAAAAAACTCTATACTTATATTATAATGTGAAAGTGAGATTTGATTGTTTGCTACGCTTTTACGCCTAAACTACAGAACCGATTTTAAAAATTATTTAACTATAACCCGGCAATCTCGCGCGCTACCGTCCCGCGGGGTGACAGACAGTGGCGGGGGCGAGGTAGCGCGTCATTCTAGCACACGGCTACACACGAAGAGAAGCGTTTCCCTTCCCCGCTACACCACCCGCTACCCGCTGACATCTTGAGTACCTCGTCCCCGCCACCGTCTGTCACCCCGCAGGACGGTCGCGCACGACGTGATGGACTATAATGGAAAGCTACATTATCAGCGAGTAAGTAGTAAGTAGCGCGGGCAAAAAGTATATGTAGAAAATATTCTATCAGTTAATCTGACTTTCAAAGTACAAGCTCTGCTTAGTTTGAAACTAGATGGCGTTGTGTGTCAGATTTCCGAAATATTTATTTATTGGTAGTAGCTACTTATATCCTTACAGTCTCACTCACTAAAAATACGGTGAAATTTTTATTTTTTTATTTGACGACGTGCTACGTTACTACCTATGGAGTTTTCATCTTGTTACTTTTTCCGAAATTTATTTGGAGTCGGCGGAATGAGCTTTCCTTTGCATTCTCCTCCATCACTTGTCAAATCACTACTGATTCTCTTTCTAGACATATCCTCTTTTACGTCGTCCTTCTTAGTTGAATGAGCGCTGAACGATGAACACCTTGTAGGCTCTAGAGTCAATGAGATCGCGTGACCAAATTAAATTCTCTAAGTAATCGCGTTCGTTCTTTCTTTCACAGGTGAAGTTGACATACATTCGAATCTATTGGATGAAAAACAATCCGATGTGAAACATAGCAACGTAAAAGTTGGCGGTGTTTACCAACCATCAACTTGCAAGGCAAGACAAAGCGCTGCAGTAATTATTGCTTATAGGTACCTTTGAGTAACACTGTCTTCTACATTATACGTATTTATTTTTATTTGCAACAAGGCCAAAATTTTCCGAATCGGTCCAGTCATTCCTGAGTTTTAGTAAGAGTAACGAACAGCAAATCATTTTTATATTAGGTCTTTACCTATGAAATTACCGTTTTGTATGCAATAAGTGAAAGTACTTATTTTTTCAAACTTTTTTATTTCTGTTATTCGAAGTAATCACCCATGCAATCGACGCATCTTTGCCAACGCATTGGCAGTTTATTGATTTCTATTCTTGTAAAAATCAGCTGGACGGGAGGCAACAAACTCTTCAAAGGCATTTTGTACTGCCTCTCGGGCATTGAATTTTTTACCCACTAAAAAGTTGTCTAAATTTTGAAAAAAGTAATAGTGGGTAGGTGCAAGGTCTGGTGGTCACATCTGCAACCAGCTTTGGTCAATCGGTCGTCCCCACTGCTCCTTCACGACAACGCGCGACCCCATACTGCGCAACAGACAGTCTCCAAGCTGCAAGAGCTGGGGTTAGAAGCTCTCCCTCATCCGCTTCCGATTACTTCGAATAACAGAAATAAAAAAGTTTGAAAAAATAAGTACTTTCACTTATTGCATACAAAACGGCAATTTCATAGGTAAAGACCTATTATAAAAGATATCTACCAATTTCAAAAGCAAGGGGCAGGTGTCTCTAAATGTTTAAAATTATTATTTAAATTTAAAATTAAAATAAACATACGGTCACTTACCCCCGTTATCTCTGAAGGCTAACAGAGGCATATTAAACGGTCATATTATGTCGATTACAATTTTAGTCCCACTTATGTACGTAATACGAGTAATGCCTACTTTATTATTATTACCTTTTATTATGATTTTAATTGAAATATCTCGTAACTACTCAACATTATATTAAACTTTACTAAACAATCCATTATAACTGCATTCATAACCATGTGATTGTCTTCAATTTATTGATGTATCTACTAGTTATTATTACAACTGCAAATCTTTTTCCTACCTTGATTTTCGATAAGTAAATATTTAGTTTGGTTTCAGATATTTACTATAGCGGAGACGCCAAATTGTTAAAATGATATTTATTTAAGTTAGGAAAACAAACAGCTATAAAAATGACAATGTTCAGTTTCATTTCAAAAAACATCAAGCCAATAACAGGTTTTCACGAATTAAAACATTAAGTACATACTAATAGAGGTTTTGGAACACTAACTAACACGAAACTACACATTATGATTACATGAATTGGAGAGCGGGATATTAACCATGTTTAATTTAGGGATTTCGTTTCCGATATTTCTGCACTATTGCCGGCAACTAATCCTGGAATGAATATCGTCAATTCCCGTTTACAATAACTTATCAAGTGAAAATACTGATTTAAAAAGGGACGTTTGTTTTTAATACAGAGGCTGTAGAAAATATCTCACTACGTTCTTGCTGTTTCTACATCCACTTCTTATTAAACAACAGTTAGATTATCAAATCTTCGTTGTAGAACAAAGTAAGTGGAATCATTAAGTAGTTTAGAGCTAATCCTACAGACAGTTGATCTCTGTTTGCATATTATCTTACTTCAGAAAGCAACTCTTTTAGTAAATTTTTGATTTCTTATTCGTAATAGCCTATTAAATGGTAACAACTTCTTCTTTCACTTCAAGTCCTGATAGGTATATATTCCTGGTTTCTTTATTTATCATTATTGTAATCCTTTTTATATGTCGTAGTTCCAAATTCAACACTATTTTCCTTATCATTACTACTTTGAAATATTTTGAAGCAGTTTGAAATTTCTGTAAAGGTAACAACAGCCAGCATTTTAACCGTGGCATGCTCCTGAACGTTGGGTTCGTGGAGGCTCAGAAGCAAAGAAAGAACGGATGGGATTGCATAATATTCCACGAGGCTCATATAGTGCCCACCGACTCCCGCAATTTATACAGGTGTAGTTGGTATCCACGACAGCTTGCGGCCCATGTAGAGCGACGTGTCCTGTATGTAGTAATTTATTTCTGTTTCGTTATCATTCAAATTTTTCTGCAATTTTAATTGAGGTTGGCTTCATATGTAACGTTGCAAAAGGGTTTTGGCTATTTTTTTTTTAATGGTTGCCCGCCCTTCTGGCTGGCTTTCATACGCAACAAAAGAATAAAGATAAATAAGAATAAGGAGGGAGATAAGATAAGAGACTCTGGAATGGGATTGAGACTACAATAGCATGAAGAAGCCAGGGTCGTGTACCCGTATATACATCCTGTAATTGGAGACGTTACTGGAGCGGGGATTTCAATTGGCCTAGAAATATATTTAACCTATTAAGTGGTAAATACGTTGTTCCTTTAAAGCAGCTCATTTAAACATATCTGAATCAACTTGAAGGGATTCAGATATGTCACTTAATATTGCCAATTATTTACTAATCGTGAACAATCGTATCATATGGAAAAAGCGGATAAGTCGGTCGACTTACAAATTTCAACTGGTCTGTAACTCAGAATTTGTTTTGCAATATGGAAATATATTATTTTGATTAATTTTGAAGAAGCTCTGTAATGTTTATCTGTGTTTTCAAATGGTAATACAGATATACTTTACAGGGCATCAAATACATACATCATTGGTAAATAATAAAGAGGAATGTAACCGTCGAACTGATACTATTTTCAACCGATTTTAAAAAGTCCCTCTTTCTCAATTCGACAAAATATTTTTTATTTACTTTTTTGTGTATGTTATATTATTATAATTTCGCCAGACGTCGTCTATAGAATATCTTGATCATCTTCAACTTTAAGATATATTTCAATTCGTGTCTCCTCAGGGGCTCTTACGTCCCAAAATTTGGAGGAGCGGTTGCCATGACACCAGAGCAATATTCAAAAGTTAACGGATTTTCTAATAAATACTGGGGAAATGACGCAGACTTTGAAGATTTATATAATAGGTAAGCAAGATTTATACCACGTACTTCCGTAGTCGTACGACGTACCACGTACACAGTATATTACGTAGTATTAAGTAATCATCTAAAAAGTCGTTCAATCAATTCACAAATAGAATAAGTTTAACACACTACACGATACTGAGAAAAAATCAAATTATGAAAATTAAAGCTGTGTAATTTCAATTATGTTATGTTATGATACGACTCAAACATTTCATTGGATCATTGCCACCTTTCAAAGGTATGTCGGCATAGATTGCCCATATCGACAGGCAGTTCCTCTTTGCTTTGTTCCGATTTCGCCTTGAATTCCACTTTTAGAGAAGCCAACTTTTAGAGTATAAGTGGATTTATTACTTAAGTGTAAATGAATACAGAATAATTTTTTTTACAGAGTGATAAATGCCAATTACTTTATCGAAACCACCTTACCAGTCTTGGGAAAATATAAAACATTGGAAAAACATACTGGTGCCGTTCGTGTTAAGTAAGTTTTTGTAGTTTCCATCAGGTGATCCGTACATCTTTAAAAAAACTAAAAATCGATCAATTTAAGCGCTGTGTAACCAACTATTGAGTTGAGTTTGAAGAACCAACTCAATAAAAAACTACACTAAATGTGATTCATTGGTAGGTATTATTTTTTGCAACACGATCAGATTTTTTGGCATGCGAGGGTTCAGGGATCAGGACAGGGCTGTCTTAAACTGTCCATCAAGTGACCCGTCACTTCAGCTCGTTTGCTTCCTATATTAGAAACAAATACAGGATACGCGATCCGCCGTAATTAAGTACTGTGTGATTAACTGTTGACATCATGGTTGAGTTTGCAGAACCAGCTTAATTTTAAAAAGAAACTAGTAGCAACAATGGTATTTTAATACGGATCTAGTAGTCTAGTATCACAAATTCGTATCCTACACAATCATCGCTTAATGAACTTAACTACAACAATACATTTGTGAGTGACTACCGATACTGTACAAACGATAAACTTACACATTAGTGTTAACTTACATAAAGTGTGACTGATGATTTTTGATAGAGTAACAATAGTAGTAAGTATAATTTGCAACCAGAATCACCTATTTTAACATATTAATTTCTGCGTCTTCGGTATTGCCGAACCGATACGACCTTCAAACCTTTAAGGAAAGAGCGTACTTCTTTCTAAAAGGCCGGCGACGCGTTGTGACTCCTGTGTTGTAGGCGTTTATGGGCGGCGGTACTTACTTACCATCAGGTGACCCGTCTGCCCGTCTGCCCCTCTTCTATAAAAAAAATAGTTATATATGCTATATGCTTTATATTGGCTTGGGTTGTCACGTAAACGTGTAAAGATCTCCAATCCAAAATTATATTTCTTTTAGATACGAAAATTTAGAGTTTTCTAATTTTCAGGTCAGAATATATCGCTACTGTTTCTCCTTTATATTTACTAGATGGTTTGACGTCATTATCATATAAAGTGGAATTATTTCAAGCAAAGCGTTTGTATACAGAACTAAAAGTGAATATTTCTGAAACAAGTGACACTGAAAGCTATAAACAATATCATGACAAGATCCTAAATACATCTTCTACACAAACGATACAGATAAAAGCTACAACTACGGCCAGTACATAAATGATATTGATAACATGGTAACGTGTTTTATTTGTTATGGCATGATATAAAATGGTCACATTGAACATGTATGTTTTAGAGGATTTTTTTATGTTTGTCAACTCCAGTGGGGTCATCTCGTAACCGAGGCTCACGGCTTATGTCGGAATATAAACCGACTAAAACCACACGGTGTTCCGTCACACGTGTTTATTGCAAGGAACTCGGGTATACTCTCGGTAAAAGTCCCCGAGAACCCTGTCATACTTTGACTGCCATAGGCAGTCACACCATTCAGATCAGAGGGCCTTGCCCTCCTTCCGTTTTAGAAAGATGACGAAGAGTCTCAGGCCTGCTTCTGCTAGGATAACGGGAAGCCGGAAATCATTCTGCGCTTTCTGTCGTCTGGTACCAGTGTTTCGAGACTGAAGAGTACCTCTTAGCTGAGATACTATTATTATTACTGTCTAGTAGGGAAGTACTCAGGCGTCATAGGGACCTATTGCATTTAAAAGATTTGGTAAGAGAATGAATAAAAGTTTTATAATGTTTCCACTAAAAATTCCCGTCTGCACGTCTGCCCGTCTACAATAAAAAAAATAAGGGAAGGAAATAAAACAAAATTCGTGCTCATCAGATATTTTGGCATATGTTATTTGGACGAAAAAAAAAATGCTCCCGTCTGATGAGTGACAAGGTCTGACGATTTTAAAGTGACACAAGCTGGTAGCGAATTATCGAAAATGCAAACTGCAAATTCAAAAAATCGCCGTTTCTTAATACCCTAGCGTGTTAGATTTTATCCAGAAGACGGTTCAGCTTGATGTTCCTGTCATACTAGCCAAAAATCTGACGATAATTTTGCAGGGTGTTTTAAAACTGATGGTTTGGAAATATTTTGATTTTTTATAAAATGTGATAAATAAAGGCACGAAAAATTAGGTCATCATCGGAAAGCTAAGAGTCGCCCCGCGACCGGCAACCGTGGTGGCGAGACCTTATCGCCGATTCGCGTCGCCGTCTTTAAGAACCGAATGTTAAGAGCTGTAATTTTTAAAATATTTGTTGACAAATTCCCAGATTTGTTCTACAATTGTTTCAAGTCTACTACTAAATCACATGACTTTTATTTTACGAAATACCAGTATGGTCTCTCAGTTCTCACGCACGTCTATGCTAAGACTAAAAAAAAATGACAGGTCGTCAGAAATTACGCTAATTGGTATTTACTTACTAGTAACACTACTAAAAGACATTGACATTTGACACTGACATTGAAGGGAGGTGTCCAATCTAAAATCACAAACTCATTCCATACCTAAATACATTATACTTTAAATCACAAAATCATTTGTCCCTTTCGCACACGTTTGATTATTCCATATCTGTCTTTTTTAAACTTTGATGAACTGAAATTGAACAGGATGGATTTTGCTTTTGACAAGAACTTGCCTGAATAATTTACAATTTTATCGCTGCACTGTAATATTTGTTTCATAATTATTAGAATAACAGGAAAAGTATATACATTTTGTGGATAACATGATCAACGTATAGATTATAAACTATCAAAATGGCATTTTTAGAGGTATGTATGTATTTTTTTTAATTTCAATGACGGATTTTCACTTGATTTACTAAGTAAAACTGTTTCTATTGATAAAACACATCAACAATGAGACTGATTTCTCTTAAGTTTTTGTGTAATTATTGCCAAACTTTAAGGTTTATATAAATTTTGTTTTCAGTGCATTTTATAATAAATCTTTCAATATTTCAGTTTCGTAAATTTGTATTTTTTGACACACAAAATAATATCGACAATGGGAAGATAGCCGAATGTATACAGGTGAGAGAACTCTTTCCTCTTAAGTGTGTTTAATCATTACATACAAAGCAAAATGTCTACCTTGTAAATGTAATACCAGTAAAATGATACAGTCCTTTTTATGGTTTCAATGTGGCAAAGCCCTTATAAGATTTAAACTTGCCATATCTAATTACTATCTAATGCTGTATATATAAACCTAAATGAATACAGAATAATATTATTGTTATGCAACAACACCCTCTTAACCTTTATAACATTTTTAACGTCATAAGTTAATGTCTCAATAAGTTATGCTAGTAACTTATTGAGACATAAAGAAATCAAGATGTTTATATTTCCTTTGTAATGAAGGTTTGCTTCTGGTCTAGTTCTGAAAGTCAGCTGTCACCTTGTCGAAGCAGCCTTACCATATAATCTGAAATAGAATAAGATAGGTGGGATGTTTTAGCTTAGCCTTAGATCTGAAACAATGTATGAATTTACTTTTTTCAGGATACAAATGTTAAAGTAGCTACGAGTGGCAAAGGCCATGTTGTGTTGTGTGACGTGACAGGTTGGGCACACCTTATATCACACTCATGGCAGATTACTTCCTTCAAAGCTTATGAGCTGACAATTTCTCTGGCTCAACAGCTTCCTCATGATCCATATCTGGTTACTGTAGGGGTCAGTATGTTTGTACTATATATATAATGTTGTATTATAGATAAACAATAAAATATGATGTGATATGAATGAATAAAATATGATAGTTTCTATTAAATAGATTCGATAGTTTTTTTTCTTTTTAAATAGACATCTCCCGCACTAGGAATAAATACTGTGTCATGGGGACTTTACAAACATACATGAAACGGACACAAAGGACACCCAGACTCAGAACAACAATTTGTGGATCACACAAGGTGTTGTCCCTTGTGGGGATTGAACCCACAACACTCAGCACTGTAAGAAGCGGCGAGGTGACCACTTAAACCACTACTCCATATGTGTTGTCACTGGTCCTAGTAGACTAAATCTACTACGACACTCCTGAACATTGGTTTTTTACGTAGACAATTTTTCCAGTGAAACAAAATCACTCAGATATTTTTTCTATACACAGTAAAAATATCAGTGTTTTATTAGAACTGGAAAATGTTTTAATAAATATAGTCCATTTTTACCTCATATTTACTTCATTGAAGGTGTTAATGCACCTGTCTGTTCATCTGATCATTATAAAGTGCTGTCCCAAGGAATTGAGGAATGGAAAAACTACTTTTGCATTATTTATTTATCGTTTACCAGCTTTATGTTTTTATCCATTTTGTCGTTCTGATGTGTCATTGAGTAACCAACACAAAAAAGCTTTCACGTTTATAATTATGTGTTAAAAAAAAGCAATCAATTTTCTAACAGGATGACGAAGCTGGAGTGAATCCTTTAATCAAAGTATGGGACTGGTCTCGCAGTGACCGACATGGCAACCCAACTCTGGCAAGGGTATCTCGCGCTGTACCTTCACATATGCGCCCCACGCCTGCCACTGCCCTAGCTGTACACGAAAATAAGGTACCTCTGACCCTACTTTTAAACAAGATGGCTTATGTTAATTAGACTTGAATAAAAGATCATTTTCTTTAATACTGGCTTATATCTTAGTGAATGTAATGTTTTTATAAATGTTTTTCAGAACTTGTTAGCAGTCGGCTTCCAAGATGGATCGGTATCGCTCTTTAGAGGGGAAATCGCACGACAGCGCAGCGGAAAAATGAGAACTCTGCCTGATTCTGGAAATAGTCCTATAACTGGACTAGCTTTCAAGTAAGTTTTACATGTATACATCAATGTTTTAAATAGGCATTATAAACGAATAATTAAATAGTATTTAACAAACTAAAATGTACAATGGTTTCGTTTGGGCATACGATTTTCAGGAAGATTAATTTTAATTTGTAGAAAAGAAATATTTTGCTAATAAGAATATGGGTAATGGAATTTCTGCTAGGTCGTTTGGTAAACGTCAAAATATTATTATACTAATACTTAATAATAACCGGAATTTTCTTAACAGAGGTGCAGACAAACTATTTGTGGTATCTCGAGCGTCCATTTCTGTCGTCTGGTTAACCTCGGAGCGGTGTGTGACATTAGACGAGAAGGGTGCCGCCCCGCTGTGTTCTGTACTCAGCGATAAACATGGTCTCACTGTCGCCCATGATGATGTAAGTTTAAATCTTTATTGGGCTGGATGAAAAATAAGTTTAGTAGCTTTTGTAGAGTTTATCTCTGGAAATTTCGTGTTACTATTTATAATACACTAAAAAATCGACTCAACAAATATTCAATTAAATCCAACAAGAACAACAACGAATAGAAATTTATCAGGATACAGGATTTTATCAGTTGTTGCAACAGCCTGCCTGGCTATATAATAATAATAATAGGTATTTGAATTTACTAATTAAAGGATTTCAAAAAGTTATCGTGAAAAAATGATTAATATATAAAAGCAAAATAAAAAAATAAAAATAATTAAAAGCTATAAATAATATGTGTATTACAATCATTTCAACAGGCAATATACTGTTACACCACTGAAGGACGAGGCCCTTGCTACGCGTTAGAAGGAGAGAAGGTCCGGTTGGACTGGTTCCGCAGCTACCTCATCATCACAACCAACGAAACCCCCTACAAAACAGCCGCGTCCACGAGCACCGCACCAGCGCCTAAGTCACACCACGTCACCATCCTTGATATACAAAACAAATTTATTGTATATTCTAAAAGTTTTGATGAAATCGATGCAGTTTTGGACCGAATGGGGCTGCTTTACATTCTTACGAAGAAAAAAGAGATAATTATTTAAAGAAAAAGATCTGCAGTCGAAACTGACCTTATTGTTTAAGAAAAACTTGTACGATGTCGCTATTAGAATAGCGAGCAGTCAGCATTACGATGTTGAAGGTCTGACGGAGATTTACAAGCAGTATGGTGATCATTTATATAGCAAGGTGAGCGATTTATACAGTAATATAAATTAATAATTGTTTGAAGAGGACATTTCTTCTTTAAAACGAGGACCTTACCTCGATTTTGATACAGCATTGTATTTATGGTGATCAATCAGATTTATCAAAAGACTGTGAGGCAGGAGAATGGAAACATCAGAAATGTATCGACCATTTAATGTCAGCGGTCGTGATTTACTTGAAATAAGAAAATATTACGCAAATATATTTTAGCCTTACGAACAAACTCATGAATATAAGACCGCAATTCAAAAGTTCGAGTGGCATGTAAGTGTTAAGCTGTTCATTATTGAATGAACTATTCTAGTTTCGGCTGACTGATTAATTACACACCGCGGCCTTTGGGGTGGTCAGCAGCTTAATCATTAAAACTAATTCCAAAGACTTCGCAAAGATATACCCGCCCGGGACCTCGCAATAGGTAATAGGTTAGAGGCAGCCACTGACTGCATGAGTCAGTAATCACGAAAGCGAAAGCTCAAACTCTCGCAGACCTCAAACTGGTCTACTATCGCTGGCAATGTGTAGGTCAATGGAAAAACTGCCACACTGTTACGAATGTTACGCTACAAATAACAATCCTAAATAGTTTTCATAGAAGCAATTACCATGTTTAAACATATATGGACTTGTTAAACCAGTGTACAGCAATTCTTTCGATTCGATTTTCACCGAGTGAGTGAGGTTACCAGATGCTCAATCCCAAGTCGACGGCTGTTCGAATCTCTTGTACACTTCCTGATACAATACGAAGAGGTTTTAACAAAAAATAATAATAAACTATATTTGATTAAAGATGTCCACTTTTTGTATGGACGTTGGTTTTTTGTTCCGAGTAAAGTCCATTAAAAGCTTAATTTATTAATATTAGCTACAATTAGGAATTGGGAATTAATTAGATAACAATCTTTAAAGCCTGCATTTAAGAGAAAAATAATAGTTATTTTGTTAGTGGATATTTTTATTGGTGGCAATATTTAGACAACTTCTTCATAATGTAAAATTTATTTTTAGGGTGACTTAAAAGGTGCGATCGACCAGTACGTAAAAACGATCGGTTGGCTGGAGACTTCCTACGTCATTCGGAAGTACTTGGAGTCACGTCACTTGGAACCTTTGATACAGTATTTGGAGGAACTGCAATAAGAAGGGTTATGCTACTGAAGATCACACGACGTTGCTGCTCACTTGCTACGTGAAGATAGACCAACATGATCATCAGGGGAAGCTGAAAGACTTCATCAATTCCAAAGATAAATCCATTGATTTTGATGTCGATGTTGCCATTAAGGTGAGCATTATTTCTGAATCATGCTGTCATCAGTAAGGAAGCGGTGAGGTTACCGCTTAAACCACTACTCCACCCGTGCACTCATTACTGAAAATCTTGTTAAAAATTCGTGAAAAATTAACTGAATTGACAGATTTTCGATCTTATGCGTATTGTTATAAAACTCATTGTTCCGTGCTACCCTGCATTATTATTAGAACTATTCCTGAAATTGCGCGGTTAAATGAACTTTCTTTCTCGAATTTTCATGATATTTCGTGACAATTTTCCTTCCAGGTGGTTCGCCAAGTAAGTATAGACGATGCGTTATCTCTCGCCGCGAACCACAAGCGCCACGACTGGTACCTCACCATGATGATTGAGAACAAGAAGGACTTTGCCAAAGCACTTGACTATATCGAGGACCTAGAGTTTGAAGATGCTGATAACTATATGAAAAAGTATGGACACAGACTCATGCAGCATGTGCCTGAGGAAAGTACGAAGTTCTTAAAGTGTGAGTATTATAAAAAACTACTCCCGTTCTCTCCTGTGAGAGACATTAGTAAAACATCTAGACTAATATAAAAATATGAAAGATTGAAAGAATGAATAGATTTTTGTATACTCCGATTTTTTTTACTTTTTATAACACTTTTTATAACTATTTTTAAATTAAGTTTAACGCTAGAGAAGCTGTAGGCAAAAACTAGTTGTGTATAAACTATGTGTAAAGTATGCGTAAATAAAAGAAAAATTAAATTAAAAAATTAAAAAATCCCCGTCACACATCTTGGATTTGAAATTTGCCATAGTGTATAATATTCTACTAGTCAAGCTCGTTCATTTGATACCCATATTGGGAGAGTTGTGAAAAAAGATATACCTAATCCGCCATTTTGTGGCGGCGGCCATCTTGAATCGATTTTCATCACACGTAGCTAAGAACACTGTCTAATAATTCACCTTCCAAACTAAAAAAAAAAAGCAAAATCGGTTCATCCGTTCGGGAGCTACGATGCCAGAGACACACACACACACAGAGACACGTCAAACTTATAACACCCCTTCGTTTTTGCGTCGGGGGTTATAAACAGAATTAGCTATCCTATATCGAGTTAAAATGCAAAACATTCAATGTCTTATCTATGTTTATTTCGTTGTACCCATTTTTATGCAAATATATCGCACATAAGCCTTTTTATGTGTGTACAAGAAGTGCAGAGCGAAAAAGGTCAATTTTTCTTGAACAAACTGCATAGATTGCCGTTCAAACTAAAATGCACAAAATTGATTTCTGTTAGTCTATTTTTATGAGTTATTTTATATATTACGTACTTTGATGTTAAGAATCTATGTTTGTCGATTTTTTTGTTTACAGTACTCTGCACAGATTATAAACCTCGTAGCAAGCCATTGGTTGATGAAAGTTCCTTGTCGGGTGGGTTTAGACAACCCGACCGTTCCCACCCAGATGACTATATACATATATTCCTAAGTAACTCGGAGCGGCTGATTGAGTTCCTTGAACACATGACGCAGAATAATAAGGAGTGTTCTAAGCTGGTCTATGATGCCTTGATAGAACATTATATACATGTGTGGTAAGTTCGAAAATATTATATCAACTGACTAAATATTTTATCAGGTTAGGTAGTCTCGTTAATTTAAGTATGAAGTTACAAACCAAACCTTAAATATTTGTTTCCCTAAAATGAGTAGTTCATTATCATTAAAATCAGTTAAAACACTATGATAGTTACTTTTACTTTGAGATTGTGACAAACTAAATAAGGCAAATAATAAGCAATTATATTTTTGTTATAATTTAGGGCAAAATCACCACAAAATAAAAAGAAAGAATACGAGGAAAAAGTGGTCCGTATACTACGAGATCCTGAAGCGAACTATGATAAGGACCATATGCTTATCATCTGTCAGATGCTCGAGTTCCAAGCGGGAGTCCTGTTTCTGTACGAAGAGAACAAATTGTAAGTATATATACACACACCCATACATTGACGTTTAAAAATAATCGTTATTATGATAATGTAGTTATACTTTCAATAGATGGCGTGCTCAAGTCGCTCTACATCTCCGTAACGGAGACTTCGAGAGTGCTCTAGCGGTGTGTCGCCGTCGCGGCGATATGTGTCCCCGACTGTGGCTCGACGTGCTGTGGGCCCCGGCACCGCCCCACTGTCTGCCGGAACTGCTCAATGTTATAGGTACGCAATATACATATACAAACTCCGAGCTGTGTCCGCGACTGTCGCTCGACGTGCTGTGGGCCCCCGGCACCGCCCACTGTCTGCCGGAACTGCTCAATGTTATAGGTACGCAATATACATATACAAACTCCGAGCTGTGTCCGCGACTGTCGCTCGACGTGCTGTGGGCCCCGGCACCGCCCACTGTCTGCCGGAACTGCTCAATGTTATAGGTACGCAATATACATATACAAACTCCGAGCTGTGTCCGCGACTGTCGCTCGACGTGCTGTGGGCCCCGGCACCGCCCACTGTCTGCCGGAACTGCTCAATGTTATAGGTACGCAATATACATATACAAACTCCGAGCTGTGTCCGCGACTGTCGCTCGACGTGCTGTGGGCCCCGGCACCGCCCCACTGTCTGCCGGAACTGCTCAATGTTATAGGTACGCATATACATATACAAACTCCGATATGTGTCCGCGACTGTGGCTCGACGTACTGTGGGCCCCGGTACCGCCCACTGTATAAACCATCCTTGAGTTATAAAATGTTTTGAATATTATTGTGCTATTAATTTTTTTAATAACTTTACAGAGTCAAAGTGAACAATACATACATTTAATGAAAATGAAATCTAAATGAAAATATTAATGTATAATCTTTTCATTTACAGCTAAGGATAAACTGCTCTCTCCAATTCTAGTCATTGATTGTCTGACCAGCACGCCCAAATATACCTTAGGAGATGTGAGAAAGTAAGTATATACGACGAAAGATAGTGTGATACATAAATAAAAATATAGAATACATTAAATTATTTTGACTCATCATCATCATCAACAGCCTATACTAGTCCACTGCTGGACATAGGCCTCTCCTTAGAAAGGAGGTTTTGGCCTACTATACCACGCTGGCCAGACGGGTTGGTATAGGGTTTGTTTCAAGTTTTCCTTCTCTTTGCAGTGCTGTCCTGCTTAGTTTGCTACCCACGGGATGAATTGGGGTGGTGACAATTTGTATTCTTGATCCGTCACCACACGACTTTTGACTCCCTAAGTATTATCATCATCATCATCGTCAACAGCTTTTGATAGTCCACTGCTGGACATAGGCCTCTCCTTAGAAAGGAGGTTTTGGCCTACTATACCACGCTGGCCAGACATTGGGTTTGTGTCAAGTTTTCCTTCGCTTTGCAGTGCTGTTGTCATGCGTAGTTTGCTCCCTTAGTCAGTTCTTACGACTTTCATAGGATGAATAGGGGTGGTGACACTCCGTACCCTATAATAATCTAACAGTTATAATTTTTAGCGTAGTTGTCTTTAATCAGTCATTTCTTACAGGTATCTAACAGATGTACTAAAAGCCGAGTCCGACGTAATCACTCGGGAGCAGCAGCTCTCTTCTAAATACCGAGAGGAGAGTGAGCGTATGAAGGAACAAACCACCGCCCTGCAGAACAACCCCATCGTGTTCCAGTCGTCCCGCTGCGCCTTCCGCGCCTGTAACAAGCCGCTCGAACTGCCCACCGTGCACTTCTTCTGTCAGCACTCTTTCCACCAGTAGTAAGTCCTTCGAGTCTAGACTCGTAGACTAAGCTTCAAGACTCCTATTACGAGAACTATCTTTTTCATATAAATTTGACTGATACCGGCTGCAACTTTCCACCATTGATCCAAGCGGTAGAACTTTGATCTTATTACTTAGATAGCTCTTGAACTCAACCATTTTGCGCTAATTACTTTCATGGGGTGACCTGTCTACTCGTTTGTTTTTTATTATAATAAAGATGCTACAGTTTTTTTTTCTGTACAGAAAAATATATGACCTATGCAGTTTTTAAATAGTTTTTTGGTATCTGGCAAACAATGAGATAGCTCGGGATGTAGTGTTTATAATCACATAAGATAGTAGTTACATTAGGTAGTGCATTTTAATGTAATAAAATAGTCTTTATTGTGCACCAACAGTCTTTTGTTTCTATACAAGAATACATCAAATTAATAAACATCTACGAATGGCGGTCTTATCGCTAAAAATATTTTTTTTACGGGCAACCTTTGGATGGACAAAACGACTATAAATAGACGAATTTTAAATGAACTGTGGTGATTTGTAAATGGACGAATTCAATTTGAGATAGTGTATATATATATAGTGTGTGAATATAGAGGTGTGTGGTTCCAGCTGTTTCCAGACGTACAGCGAGTGCGAGGCGGAGTGTCCGCTGTGCGCAGGCGCGCGGCGCCGGCCCGACGAGCCGCAGCACACCGCCGAGGCGCTGCACCACCGCCTGCACCACGACCACGACCCGTGAGTACCCTGCCACCACCCTTCAAACCACCTGAGGACCTACTGTCACTTTATTTCATGTGTCTGCGATCGGTCCGCACTCAAGTCTTAGCCGAGTATTCCCTCTCTACTTCTTTTTACAGCCATGTGTGAAGAATGGTTAATGAGTACCATGCGTTCGCCGTATTGTATAACCACGTGGAATAGTTATTTTTACTCCATATAAGCCTGAAACGGATTACTGTTATTTGAATTTGCTACCTAATTTAAACAATCGCCAAACGTGTCGTAAGTATCACGATATAATTACTAATTAAGGGATGAATCGTAAAAATTGCACTACCCCCGTATTTTTCTTTTATTTTGCGTCTAGTGGAACTGATTTAAAATGTAGAAACTACTTTCAAAATCATTAATCATGCGTATAAAATCGGGATATCTGACATGCTGCCATACATTTCAGCTCTAATTACAACCACTTAATACTAAATTCATTAATTTGGAGTGTTATCCGATTTACTGCCGATAATTCGGATATCGATAAATGCATCTACACGGTAGAACCTCAGTTCATGGTTATTAAATTGGCGCGTTTTTACACCTCCCATGGCGAGTTTCAAGTCATAGCGGCGTATAAAGCAGTACCCTTGCTTTTTATTATACGCCTCTATAGCTTGCAAGCCTCCTTTTCAATCGTCAGCCATCGGTCTTTTGAACGTAACTTCGAAAATAGTACTTTGTTAACCGGCTTTTAAAAAAAAGAGGAGGTTATCAATTCATATGTTTTTTTATGTATGTTCGGGCATATATCCGTCATATATAGACGGATTTGCAAAATTCTTTTTTTGTTTAAAAGGGGTTTATGCCGAAATGGACCCATTTAAATTTCATATGATGAGTTTCGGAGACAGACAACGGAACTCTTCAGAAAAATGACAGCAAATCAATAGCGATTGCTGCTAGGATTTCAGTGCTCTTTGTTAGTATTGTTTGTCGGTTCAACTCTTTTTAAAAAGGATTTTATCCAAATCATTGGTTTACACGAACGTGCACAATGTTGTGACAATAGCATCACCTAACAATTGATTGTGTTCCGTTGCTTCAGGTGGCCTAATGTAAACACAAGCCACATATAACGCGAAACGTTTGTAAATTTTGTTTATACCGAGTATTATAAGCTACACTACAATAACATCAAGACTCCTATTAAAATACAAATTTGGTAATTTGTTTTCCAGAAATATAGGTCGAGGAAACATTATATTGACTGCACGGAGGGCGTACTGGTTTAAGTGGTCGCCACGCTGTCTCTAATACTACGTTGAGTGTTGTGGGCTCGATCCCCAAAACACGTTGAGTGTTGGGACGAAACTTTGTGTGAAATTGTTGTTCTGAGTCTGGGTGTTCTTTGTGTAGATTTCATGTATGTTTGTAAAGTCATATACATATGTATCTTTATATAAATGTTATTTTGGTTCGTGTACGTTTCAAAAACTCTAAAAGTTCTGCACCGATTGAGCACAAATTTTGACACGATATACAAACCACTTCAAATATTGTTTATATCGTAAAAGAGAATAATGTGTGTGGAACGTGGTGAGCACTGTATAAATTTTTCTTATGTTTCATTTACTTCATTATATTTTTCATTTCTTGAGAATACTACAATGTAATCTTATAACAATTATTGGATCTCCAATAACATCCTTACAGACGATTCAAAACATTGACATCATGAGAATAATAATAACACGCTTTTAAACAAGTGTTATGTAACAAGGCATTTATAGTTCTTGATGATGTGAATTAAAAATTGAATAATATTATTTATGGTAATCCTTATAAAAGTTATCAAAATTAATAAACAAATAAATACCCTTTTGTAGAGAATAATTTCAGTTCTACGATTTCGTAGGACTATGAATGCATGTGACGGATTAAGAATACGGAATGTCACGGCCCCTATTCATCCCGTGGGTGTCGTGAGAGCCGACTAAGGGAACAAACTGCACAGGACAACAGCATTGCAAAAAGAAAGAAAAACTTGAAACCCTATACCAACCCGTCTGGCCAGCGTAGTATAGTAGGCCAAAACCTCTTTTCTAAGGAGAGGCCTATGTCCAGCTGTTGACTATTATATGGTAGTACTAATGCTGTTAGTAAATATGGTCGCCAAAATTCTTAGCTAGGGTTTTATAACGCAGAAGGAAAGTATGTAGAATCCCTAATAACTGACATTTTATGGGGGGGGCAGGCTTCTGTATCAGTGATCCTTTAAAAAAATCTGGGTATTGACTCTAGCAATAAAATAATGTACAAAAAAGGGATGTAAAAATGGATCCATCGTCCTATAACCACATCTTCGTATAAGTATGGGTTAGTATTTGGCAAAATTGACAGTAAATTTGAATCAGCTGTGTACACTATATAGATTAGTTCCTATACCCGTACTGCGCTTGGTCAAATCTTTGTCCTGGTATGGTCCTTTCTGCGTGTGTGTGGTATTTCCGTGTCTCGTCACTGACCCATTGTTTGTACAGTTGGCACCAGTATTAATGTCGGTGTTTAGAACGTTAACTATTTATCAAATCGTGTGTTTGTCGACTTTGGGCCATAAAGTCGGTCGGTTTTCTCCGGTATTAAGTAATTCCTGCAGTCGAGCCGGCTCATTTGTGCCGAAGTATGGCTCTCCTTCTTTAAAAGCACAATTTCTTGATATAACCATAATTTCTTCAACTCTTGCCAAACGAATTTCAATTACAGCATGCAAATATTATTACAATTAAATTAAGAACTTGAAATAAATACAAACTAATTACACAGTAATGTTATTCTAAAAAGTGATAAAAAGAAACTGTTTACTAGCATTTAACTAATAAGGCAATTGGCCTTCAGTTTACTTTTATGAGCGACCAGTCGCATCAATGCTCGCGCGCAGGTATGACGTTTCTTAAGCAACACGGCGATAACGTGTTATAGTGTGTGACACAACAGTGATATAAAATATGTACCTATCGATATTGAAATCGCTAATGGAATCGCCTTTTGGATGGTGTTTTGCTACCAACGAAGAGAAGTATGGGTGAGTGAAACACATTAGATGAGTGTTTATTTCTAATTCTTCTAATTTTCTGGTTAATTTTGTTGCGGGTTTCAAGATAGTCTAACTTTTTTTGGGACTCCCGAGTGTCACAATTTAGTGTGTTCATGTGCCACTACTGTTGATCCTGGTATACAGGAGTTACAATAGTGGACGTGTGGGAAGGTTTAGTCCCATAACGGATGAGTGATCGCAGGTTTGTTTATATGCTATTGTTTTCTAAATTTCCAGTTTTTCTGTTATCAGTGAAAGTTTATTTACAACTGTAATGTAGATTAAACACATTAATCTAACACTAATATCACTCCGATATACTATCGAATACTTAATAGCCAATCAATTTTATGTTCTCATTTTTATTTTTGATATCGAGTACTATGTACCTTCTAACGTAAACAACATAATATTTTTAGCAAGGTTTGCATTGTTCTTTCGTCACAAGCAATTTCTCTATTTTCAAAATACAGGTTTCACTTCTGTACGTGTTTTAGTTGTATTTGTCATAGAGGGGGTTTTGCCATAATCGCTACGCTTGGTATGCGGGTTGGCGATTGCAGTGAGATGGTACTGTGTGTACAGTCAGCATCAGATTCTTATAAGCGTATGTAGTGAAATAATCTTAGAACAAAAATTAAATGTAATATTCACGATCACAATATGCAAATTGTTCGTAAGTATCAGACCATTTCGTTGTTCTCGGGAATATTTCTTAATACAACAAATATATTGTACTAGCTTTTGCCAGCGGCTCAGCTTATGTCGGTTATCACGGTGAAAAGTAGTCAAGATCCTTCCTCAAGTATCAAACTATCTCCCTATCAAATTTCATCTAAATCGATTCAGCGGTTATTGATTTTCCATACAAACTTCCTTCCCCTTGAAGGATAATTTCTGGGATAAAAACTATCGTATGTCCTTTACTGGGAGTTGAACTATCTCTATACCTAATTCCATTTAAATCGGTTCAGAGGTTAGACAGTATATGGATTGTTCTCTTTGTCGAATTCATAAAACTCTACTTTAATAAAAACAGTTGACCGTGCTTTTGTATTTATCATAGACGGAACAAAGTATGACCAATATAACGTTCATACATTACATTGTATGGAATGTACATAAATCACAAAAATAACTGTGTATGCGGTACAGAATTCTAATACTCATCGCAATTTCATCGATATTTCAAACATTATAATACATAAACTAAATAACATGCATATTTTTTTAAAAAGATCATAATTTAAATTTATTTAGTAAGCTTTAGCCAATGGTAAGGCTTTTTCGTTGTTTTTTATGAATGCATAAAACTTGTATTTATTTCAATCATTTAAAACCTATATATAAAATGTTAACTTGTACGCTTCAAGCTAAGTTTTGATAAGGAAAACAACACTCTTCAAAGATGGGTTTTATCTATTTTTTGCCACCACAATGTGCCACAGCGAAGCATGGCAGGGTACAACTAGTAAATTATAATTAAATTAAATTAAAATTATCATAATTTATTAAATATATTTTATTAAATTTAGCTACAACTTAGAGGTGGACGATTCAGGCGCTTATCACCGCTATCAAAACATTAGTGGCTAGTGAGGACAATAGTCTCATAAACTGGCCTTTAATTTGTATTTTCTTGTATCTGGAGAACACGGGAGCGTCAAAAAATTAACATGGGTCCCTAATCAGGTACATTTCACTCTATGACATTGCGTACACTAATATTTACTTATTTGCATGAATACTTGAATGTACTGCATAACATGTACCACAAAATGATAATACTGTCGGTTACATGTATACTCACAACGACTTGATTGGACTGCTACTTCCCTATTACTAAACTTGTACTCGTAGTCTTGTCATGCTCTCTGGGTCTCTTTAATACTATTTATTCTTTGGACCACTTGAAACAAACTCTATACCAACCTGTCTGGCTAGCGTGGTATAGTAGGCCAAAACCTCCTTTCTAAGGAGAGGTAATTGTCCAGTGGACCATTAGAGGCTGTTGATGATGATAATGATGATTTTTTGGTTTATCTGTATGTCTTCTTCTTAAAGTGGCGATAATTACGTATCATTTACGTTAAAATACCTGATTGAATTTATCTACGTAATAAAGCCATAACTGCTATTCGTAACTGGCGTAACTGTTATCGTCATCTGTATTTAGTTTCGCCAACTTCGGTTCTAAGTTATTTATTGTAGTGTGATAATTTATGGACAATAATGATTAGAAGACACGGTGACGTAAGAGGTGTGATGTTTAAAATATTGCTATTGCTTGATTAGGTTAAGGTCGAATACCTAATATCCCTCGAATCTGCTGAAACTTTGGAAAATTTGCATTATTTTGTTCAGTAAACGTTTTTTAAATTATTTTTCACATTTTTGGCACTGTTAATATATATTTTTAGAATAATAATGTTTATTTTTCACCACAATATTTCGAGTATTTACAAATATTAAGCTTAGTAAGTAATACAATCACTCATACACACAGAACACACATAAACGAGGGTCATTTTGGCTTTGCCTTTCACTAAGACGTCGGGAACAACGATGAAACGTCATATTTTATTGTTTCATGTTGACTATTGAAGATTACAACATATAATGCGAGAAAAATGCAAAGTAAATAATTCGGAACTCGCAAACAAAATTTAACTCATTATGCGTACTGTACCAATTTTTTTTTTAATTATCGTTTACACGAGAAATGTTTTGAAATAAAACGAATGTTCCTGATTGCTTATCGCAAGTTCATTTATGTTTTTAAAATAGTTTAAAAAAATATATTGCACCACATTTACCTTATATTTTTATTTAAATGGAAATAAGATATTTACTAATTTACAAATTGCGTTAAGATACACGCCGATGCCTTCAAAAACCTTTTTTTTCGCGAAACGACCTTTCACGTATTCCAATTAATATATTAAAAATGTTTTGTATCTCTTTTCTGGCTGTCTCACCTTAGGATAGACATAGGTCTCCTTCTGCGAGCAAGTTATGCTCGCGAAGGAGACGGCGGAGCGGGACCGGGAGAGGTTTAGGACTCTCCCGACCCGCCAGGCCCGGGAACGGGCCAGGTACCGCAGGCGACTCAGGCGCCGGAGGTCGCAGAACGACCTTCGTCCTCCATAAGCGCAGGCCTGGGGGTGACAGGTGAGGCCATCTGTCACCCTAGCAGAAGCAGGCCGGGGTGGCGGCGAGCGCGTTGCAAAGCGCGCTCGCTTCCAGGGAGCACAGGGTTCCCACACGGCGGGGGGTCGTCTACTCGTCTGTAGATGACCCGAGGTATGTCGGGGCACCAGGGCCTTCCTTTCTAGGGTATACCTGGTTCCCCGGCTATTAGTACCCGAGACGGCGTGCGGTTTTAGTCGGTTCGAGTCCGAAATGCCACCGACTCGGTGGTATCCGAGGGGATTTCCGCACGGAAAAAAAAAAAAAAAAAAAAAAAAAGGTGATACATATTTTACAGACTTAAACGTTGTAGAGACATTTTTAAGGCAAATAAACCGCATCAGGACGATACTGATATAATCGGTTATTCAACTAGGATATTACTAATACTGCGCTCTGGTTACCCTTACCGTAATCGTAAAAAGCCTTTTTTATGGTTAATAATATTTAAAATTTCTTGTCACCAGGTATGCCGTAGTATCAGAATACTACGGACGGGGCCTATTCAACAAGCTGACAGTGGTGACCGAAGGTGGGGCCACTGAGCAGACACAGCCGGCCCCGGCTCCTACACCCGCAGCAGCGGTTGTCCCGCCTGCGCCTGCGCCAGTACAGAACACCTACGGTCCTGGCGCAGAGGCCAAACTTAGACTGCAAGAGGGTCAAAGCAAACAAAGTAAGTTTGATTTTTACTTGACTAAGTAACTTCAAGGGTTAATTTTCAGGAGTTTATGAGTGTTTGCGGATGGTTCTTTTTTCACAATTTTTGTGATTACACATGAATTTATTTATCTTTACCTAATTTTACGGTTAATAATAATAATAAACTCACACATCTCACACACGGCAGTCTGATCCCAAACTAGGCAGAGCCTGTGCTATGGTAACCAGGTTTCTGATAGTATAGATAAATTACACCCAGACACAGAACAAATGATCGTGTTCATCACAAGATTATTTGTTCTGGATGGGAACTCACAACCTTAGCAGTAAGGGTCACTAACCACTCGACAGGCCCGTACCATTTACACTAATTAAAAAAGAAGCCTTACCACAAAATCAACCACACCACACTATACAATAGGTATCAAATAGATGTTTACCTGACTTATCTAAATTCCTCCATTATTAAAGGCTAGTATTTTTCAAATCAAAATAGGCCATGTCTCAAAAGTGGTCGCTCTTGTTTGCCGTAGAGAACTATGTGTTAGGTACTTGTCAATTCAATGGTAGGTATAAAAGAATAAATAATTAGATTTCAACATAACACTACGTCACTTTAAAATAAAACTATTAGCCTTGCAATGTTATCTACAGAACAACCAGCAACATCAAAATAACACATGAATTTGTGTTTCCCTAGATTCTTATATATTTATAATATTAAAAAACTTATGGGAGCTATACTTATTAATATACATTCTGTGTACTAAGTTTCGGGAATTTGTCAATAAAACAAAAAATACAAATTATTTATCTAAATTTATTTTATCGCCTTCAAAGTAGGCCCCATCGCTTGCAATACAACATCTCCACCGCTTCACCCAGTCTTCCATACATTTTTCATAGGCTATTTGCGGTATGGCTTTTAGCTCATTCAGCGAATTTTCTTTTATGGCTTCTATCGACTCAAAACGTTTTCCTCGAAGTGGTAATTTTAACTTGGGAAATAAAAAAAAGTCAGACGGAGCCATATCAGGTGAATACGGTGCTTGGTCGAGAACTTTTGTTGAATTTTTCGCTAAAAACTCTTTCACTATAATGGCTGTGTGTGATGGTGCATTATCATGGTGCAGCATCCATGAGTTGTGTTGCCACAAATCTGGACGTTTTCGGCGGATACTCTCACGCAAACGCTTCATGACGCCTAAATAATATTCTTTATTCACTGTTTCTCCCTCTGGAAGGAATTCGGAGTGAACCACACCTCGGTAGTAAAAAAAAACTGTCAGCATCACCTTGATTTTGGAGCGACTTTGCCGCGGTTTTTTTGGTTTCGGCTCGTTTTCGAGACGCCACTCTGAAGACTGTTGGCTTGTTTGCATGTCGTACTCATAAACCCATGTCTCGTCGCCAGTTATTATACGTTTCATAAAGGTCGGATCCGTAGAAGCTCGGGAAACCATGTCTTCAGCGACATGCTTTCGCTGCGCTTTTTGAACAAAATTAAGCTCTTTTGGAACTAGTCGAGCGGCGACGCGTTTCATGCCTAAATTGTCAATGAGAATGTTGTGGACGGACTTAAAAGATATGTTCACCTCACTAGCCAACTCTCTCAGACTCATACGTCGATTTTCGAGCACTAGCTTCTTGATTTTGCCGATGTTTTCTTTGGTCGTAGCGGTTGAAGGTCTACCAGAACGAGGCAAGTCTACTTCTCGGCCTTCTTTAAAAGCCTTATACCATTCATAAGCCCTTGTTTTCGATATACACGATTCGCCGTAGGTATTTCGCAACATTTTTAGTGATTCACCACAAGAAATATCATTCGTAACACAAAATTTAAGGCACACTCTTTGTTCAACAATATTTTCCATTGTAAAAATCGCCGAGGACTCAAAACTATCACCAACAAAAAGTGTAGTTTAAAACAAATTAAATGACAGATCCCGCTCAAATTTTGCGCGCTTAATCAGTACAGTGCTACCAACATGCAGTAAAAAAATTAGAACGACCTCTTTTACGCGGGTCTTTTTATTGACATATTCCCGATACTTTTTACACAGAGTTGTATATAGTAGGGGGAGGGGCAAACAAGAACCACTCAATCCTATGGCGCAACAATATAAAACAAAACATTCGTCATTTGAATCCAGAAGTTTTATTTTTCCTCTTAGCGACATATTTAACTATTCATTTTTGTTTAAATTTATTTATAAAACAAATCTCGGTTCTTATGTAACTTCGAAATGGTTATGATTGTAAAAATAACCGTGTATATCAGATTACAAAATGTCACGGTAAGTTTGTAACGCAGTTAACGCTGTATCGGAATACTTCTATTTAATAGAATAAAAGAGATTTACAATCTTAAGATAATTTTTAGATTAATTAATATTTTTAGTTGATTTAGCTTGATTAAATAACAATTTAGACGTAAATAGGTCATATTTATTTAAAACGAAATGAAAGAGTATAGTTTATACCAGCTGATCCTGCAAACGTTGTTTTGCTATTTACATTATTCAAATATATATATATATATATTTGAATTTCTTAAAATCCGTTCTAAGCTGACCTCTACTCGGTGAAAAGAATATTCCTACCAAATTTATAGTCTTTAGCTCTAATGGTTCCAGAGATATCGTGATGAGTGACTATATACGTGGAAATCTCTTATATATATATAGATAGATAATAACTATATTAACACTTTTTGACCGTTCGATTCAATTAGTAGCAATCGAATACGATGCCAATTTGATTAAAAATAATGATCGATTTGATTAGGGAAGTTTGAATTGATTTAAAAAATGTAGAACGGTAATTTACGATAAAAATAAGTTTAATTAATTATCCAAGTTAAGTTTAATTAATTATACATATAAAAATTGTGTATTACGTAGTAGTACGTGTAGTGTTGTAGTGCGGACAGGAGGAGTGATGAAATAAGTGTGTATCAGCTTTGTTTAACTCCCTAACTACGCTCTTGTTATTCTAGCGGACTAGAGTTGCGGACTTTTTAAACCAATAGGTTTTCTAGAAGGTCCGTACTTTAGACAGTCGGGATTGACATAAATTAATTCTACATAAATTTATGGTCATTTATTTTCCAGTATTCGTTGCTAACACCGCCAAGCAGGTTGCACCAAAAGGCACAACCGTAATCCCAATGCCCGAAGGAAAAATGCGCTTACTCGAGCAACAGCGATACAGTTCAAGTTTGGAAGCGAATCTAAATAAACTCGAGCCGGTCCACAAGCCATCACCATACGCCTCGCCTATTGCAACTAAGAAACGATTCGAGGATAAACCTAGAAGTACAGGAGTGTCGCCTAAGATTCAGACGATATCGACGGCTATTAGCAATAGTAGTGCGAAAAACCCGTTTGAAGATGACCCCTACGATGAAACTAAGAACCCGTTTGCGGATGAAGCAACGGATGTTACGAATCCGTTCAATGATGAAGATGATGACTACGACAAGAACAAAAATCCTTTCTCGTGAAGTGAGTAACAGACTGATAGTATACTCGTAGATACACACTTTATGTTTAATGCTTAATGTTTGAAAGAAAATAGTAAATTGTTGAATAGTTTCAAAACTTGCCTCATCAAAAAACTTTATTTGTTTTTTAATCTTGCAATATTTTCTTTTTTGCACATAAACTTCTTGGATGTCAATATATAGTAATTTCTAAATTAAAGTTTATATTTAAGAGTATTAATCGTTGAGTATTAATCTCAGTTATAAACTCGACTCACTAAACGCATTAGGCGTAGGTAATTCAAAATTTCAAAGCAAACGGTTTGAAAACAAATATACGTTTACATAGCTGCTTGATGCTTAATACAGAATTTCAATATTGAACTGCGAACGGATTATGATTAAATAGATAATGTCTTTAGGCACAACAGTTATAAACAGCAGCTCAACTTTCTCTCTTCCTTTTTATAGATTGAAAGCATGAACTAATCTTATTGAAAAGTGACACAAAAGCATATAGTCCCCACGACATAACTTTATAAAATCTTACAACTACGATTTGGACCTAGTTTATTATGACGAACATAATTTGGGGTTGCTATAAATCAAACATCGTTATTTCTACCTATATGTAAAAATATTTACTAACAGTAAATACTTTTTACCAAATACTTTTTATTTGAGAATCGACAGTAGATTGCATGTTTATGTGTACAAGCTATTTATCAACCTAGTCAAGGACTTAAAAATATGTTAGTTATTGAATCCTTATATCTTAAAATCTCACTGAATTGAACTCCGATTATTGAACTCCGTTTGCCATTTAATATGTGTGAGAACAGAGTGGAGGTGCAACTACGTCATCATCACATCAACAGCCTTTAACTGTCCACTGCTGGACATAAGCATCTCCTTAGAAAGGAGGTTTGGCCTACTATACCACGCTGGCCAGACATTGGGTTTGTGTCAAGTTTTCCTTCGCTTTGCAGTGCTGTTGTCCTGCGTAGTTTGCTCCCTTAATCAGTTCTTACGATATTCATGGGATGAATAGGGGTGGTGACACTCCGTATTCTTAATCTGTCACCATACGGACATATTTTTTTTAGGTACCCTATAATAATCTAACAGTTATAATTTTTAGACGCAACACAATGTCATACGTATCATCATCACCAAGGTCATTGAAGGTGTTTTTTTTTAAGTTAATTATCTGTCGATCGATCTAGTAATTGTTTTCAGTAAATCAATAAAGACAATCAATTTATTGGTACTACGGGTTAGCCACTATACAGTGTCTGGCAATAAAAAATGTATCTTCTATTTAGTATCATCACAAAGATTTTATATTCGGCCATATTAATCAAATACTGTGTAATAAGCACGATCATTTGTTCTGTGTCTGGGTGTAATTTATCTATAATGTGTGTACATATTTAGAAATATTGGAGTTTGTTTGTCTATACTTATATTGTAAATGTAAAAGTAAGTTTGTTTGTTACGCTTTCACGCCTAAGCCACAAAACCGATTTTAAAAATTCTTTCACTTATGGAAAGCTACAATATCAGTGAGTAACATAGGCTACTTTTTACCGCGATGACCGACCACACGCGGACGGAGCCGCGGAATAAAGCTAGTTTAAAAATAAATGTACCAAGTAAGAGTATAAGTCACAGCAAAATGTGGGCGTTTGGATAGGCTTTTGTCTACCCCATCGATTGGTTATTATATAGACAGAAAATCTTTCAAACGTTCAAACAATTTTTCATCAGATTCTCTTGTTTGAGCTGGTTTGACGATATTCTGCTAGATTTGTATGTGTATATAAAATATGGTGTGCATTGTATTGTATACCTTGATATGTTCATCTAACATAAATTTTATACGGTAGGTATATCTACTTAGACAAGCTAAAACAATTCTCGATTGATCTTCATTTTTTGTATTTCTTTATACTAAACGAATTGTAAGTAAAAAGAAAACACTTTCAAAACTAGATAGTTTAAAGTTAATGTCTTCGCTCCACATTCCTTATCTATTTAAATTAATTAATTGTATGTATATAAATACCTAAATAGTATAATTATAATTTAGAGTTTTAAGCTATACCTACACATTTTGTATATCGATTATGTGATAATAAAGCTATGTTGTAATTTTTTAATTTGGTTTTATTTTAAATCTCAGATTTTTGTGCTCACACCACGGAACCAAAAACCGTAGACCTTCTATACTTCTAAATCTTTCTGTTCTACATATAGGTAGAGTGTCCCTGACCTGTCTTGACATTCTTTTCAGAAAAAAAGTCGTTTTCATAAATATTACAAAACTCACTCTCATAGTAACTTAAAGTAATAAGTAGATAACAATCTATGTCTAAAAAAATATATTTATAAAGAGTATCCGGTAAAGTCTTTAGAAACGGGATATTTACCATGTTTATTTCCGGGAATTAGTTTGTGTTGACGCACGTAGTAAACGAACTAGAAAGAGGGTAGACCACAGAGTACAGTTTGTAACAGTTTGTTGTTTCTAATAACTTATCAAATGAAAATGGTAGCTTGAATCAGGGTTGTTGCGAATATCAGCATCCGCGGATTATCAGCATTATTTTTAATATTAACATCAGCAGCCGCAACAATCGACTGACATTCAGCCTGTGCACTTTAATTAGTTAAATATAGTCAGAAAATGTATACAACGTTTTCTGAATAATGTCCTAAGTTAAAATATTTGTAAATCTGCAAAGTATCTTGAATACATAAGTAAATAGTTTTTCTTACTAAAAATAGTATACACTATCTACTATTCGAATAGGTTTTCCTTGGACACGTGGAACAGCTTCATCTTTATTTATTACATGTTTTGTATTGAAATGCATAATCTATCGTGTATTGTAACCGACACCATTGGGGTTACTATACTTCTTTTTGTTAACGACACGTATGTATAACGTGTAATAAAACAATTCGTTACACGTGTCAGTTTTTATGATAATGTTGAAATTAGTCGAGTTCACAGGGAAAACAACTGAATTAATTTGTAAAACTTGATCCGATAATTATACAATAACTATTCATTTTTTTTACCGTATCTTTGTTTCACTTCATCTGCTATCTTTAAGCAACTTCTAGCAACTTCTAGAAAAACTTTCTAAAATGGTCACAGACGTGTTCTTACTAGTGAAAAATAATTAATATCGATAAATGGATAACTTTTGTGTAAGAACTTCATTACGGTGAGGTCGTTAACAAAAAAAAGTGTAAACACCCCAGTGGTTCAGTGGTGTCGTTTACAATACACTAATTCTATTGTATCATAGATACCTGACCCTTTGTTCCTGACGAAGTAACGTTCGCAGTACTATATTTGAAATAGTTTGAAAATAATAATTCAGTACACTTTATAATGAATTATGAGTTTTATATCGCGAAGTCATCACTAGAGTTGTCTAGTTACCTATATGTACCTATAGGCAAATAAGGAGATGTGGAGAAAAACAAACAGCAATATGGAAATTTTCAAAGCATTTTATTTATGACCTTTAACACTGTGTATAATATATTTTGATAGTACATTTAGAGCAATGAGTAATATTACCAATCATTACATTGTTCTTATCATCATAAATTGAATGAAATTCATAAATTATATATAGAATATATAATTTGTTCTCAATACCATTCTCGCCCAACAATCAACAATCACTATCGAAATCACAAGGACCGCCATGCAGCAGCGCCTCCCGCCACGAGACGCGCCACGCGCCACGCGCCACGCGCCACACGCGGCACGCGCGCGCCACGTGCCACACCTCGCGCTACACGCACCAAAGCGTCGAACTCACCAACAGTACAGACCAACGATACGTACAAAATAAATTAATGAAAACAAAAATTTAAAACAACAGCTAGTTCTATAAAAATAGCAGTATAGCTTAAACAGTATACTCTATAAAAAAATATAATCCAGCATCAGCTGCATCTCTAATTTAAAATGTCTTGTTTTCATAGAATTACAATAATATAACAACTAAATCGAAATTAGCAAACGAAACGTCGAAAGAAATAAAAAAAGCCATAAAAAATATTTTTACAGCCGCCTCACGACACTCCGTGGTTTCTCTATTCCTGCTCACTATTCATCTACTAAACACCATTTTGCTATGCAAAATACATTACCCTATTTAATTAAAAAGATTGAAATAATTACAAAAAACTTTGGAATGTAAATACAAAACAAAAATGACTAGAAAGGAAAATGTATCAACGCACATAACATTCAGCTTAGATCTCTTTCATACGTTTACAAGAACACACCTATTGAAGGAGTTACACGAATATTATGTTGGTGAAGAAATATTTGGACAATATCTGGCAAAGATTCTTATAGATTTAAGAGCGTCTCAATAGTATATAGATATAGAACACATCGTCAAATCGAACCGGTACATTGAAAAATAATTTTGTAACATTTGACGATGCGCTGTACAAACATAAAGAGTTACAGAATAGTTTGATTATTTCGACGACAAATTGTAATTTCAATTTTAAGAAACGTTACCTATAACACACAGCATGTCTAAATTTTGGATAATACTTTTTGTTCTTAACACCTAGGTTTATTATACGCTAAATTATTATCAGGATATTCTCTAGTGTTAGTCGAATATTAATGACTACGGTTCAGTGTGTAAGCCGGTGTGACTGGACTTTTAACAGAAAAAAGCTTTTTTTTTTCAATTTTCTGTAAACCATGTAAGTACGAAAGGAATAAAATATTTACAGGGACTATTAAGTCAAGTTTGACCTAATTTGTAAGCTTACAATGTTGTAAACAAAAATATCCATATATTTGATTTTGATCGAAAATATAGTCACCTAGAAGCATTATTATAGTGACAGTTAATAATTATTCAACATTTATAGAAGCGGCAAGAGTAAACATTTGCTCGGACTCACAACAGTGTCGACATAAAAAAAGTAATAAAGAATCATCCATATAAAACTACAGTCACATTCATTATCTAACTACGATTATATAAATGTCGTATCTGTATATATATATATGTAGAACTATGGACCGATGAGGACAGGACAATACGAGTGGGGAATGAACGCAACGGAGAAACACTTATTACCACACTAGTGAGTGAAGGTTTACAGCACAGCGACAGTGCACACATGCTACTTCTATCACATACGATGTACCTACACGGTATGACTAGAACGTACGGAATGCTCCGAACGGAATAATCTGTTAATGAAATTAATCATTCGAGACTTTTCATCTGAGTAACATCACATTATATCCTACTTTATACATTCCATATAAAGAATTTTAAGAAAAAACATTACATAAAACAATAATAATGATCATAAATGAAATTACAAACTACATAAAGTAGCACAAAATGATTTTATAATGCATAGTCTACATTAACTACAAATATTTTAATGTATTTACAATCAATACTAAAATGTGAAACGTTTACGTATGACGTCATACGATACTGCCTACCGCCACATGGCCTTTTGAGCCTCAAAATATAATTTATTCTACCGTCGGGTCATACGTATATACAAGGTAAGTTACATTAGGTAATTATGTATTCAACATTAGAAGAAAATTTATATAGATCAGTAATTTGTCTTTTACCAAATACATCATTTTTTTTAAATTAAATCCTTAGTTATTATAATTATCATGTAACAATATGGAGTCTATCAAACATCGCCAATATATTTGTGCGCAATGCATACATTATTGATTTATTTATTGCACAAAGACAAAATACAGTTCAGAATTGTCAACATCATTTTGATTGTCGATGGACCACGGTATGCTTTAAATATACATCAATGGTGATATTTATACGAATTAGTAAGTATTCTTCGACTGTGGAGTATTAAATCGTGGTCCAACGATACCATTATAAGATATACAAAATAACATAATACTAAGCGTCCAACAAGATATTGAAACAACTCGCAAGTTATACATTGCAGTAGGAATTTTATATCCAATACGAACAATTTTTAAATCAATGCAAAACGTTTCATCTTTAACCCTCCCTGTTCAACAGTGCACCGGTTTGGTCCCGTCTCTGTTTGACCTTCGACTATACATTAAAAATAAACCATACTATATGATTGACCATTAAACTACATCATCACTTTAATAATCAAATTGCACCAATAGCATGATCACAAAAAATAATTTCATTTTCTGTTACAAAACGAATTATCAATTAAAATTCCAATTATTATTAGTGACTCACATATCACTATAATATTAAATGTCAACAAAATATACATAATCTCTATAAGTATATTTCGTATATCGCATTAAATGCAGCTGTTTTACAATAATACTGTTAATTAAACATGGATATGCTAAAATAATTGATACATTTGCAATTTTCATATCGTATTATATTGTGGTCCCCATTCCATAAATAGATACAAAACAAAAAATTAAAGATGTCTGATAATTTACTTCGCATAAAAAGTAATATTGTTTGATAAATTCCATTTTTAAATTCATGTTTTTTTTTTAATTATTGTTCTCTTCGAGTCACGAACCTCCCTTACGAATGGTTCATTGGCTAGCTGGTTACCACTGCCACATTTGTTAATAATAATTATGTATATAAAATTAATGTATGTGCAATAAATACTTTCCATACGAAATATATCATTTTACAAAATATTTGAATAACGGACCACAGTGTATACAAGCTCTGTGTTGAACGGTCAGTGACTAGTACCTCTATGCCCCCACCAAACCAGGCACACGCTTTATAACCTGTACTTGATACCAGGAATCATAGCCGTACAACTTACCGGATAAGTTTTATATCACCATCTTTAGCTACATTTCGTTTTAATTGCCGTATTACGCGCACCGCTGTACCGGTACATGGTGCGATTCGGACTAAAAGTTTTTTTATTACTTTTCTCACTATACTAACTTGACATTAGCGTAGCCAGTCCGAATATAAAAAAATGCCAATGGATGGAAACTACATACACGTTCTGATTCGAAGAGTGGTGTGTATGTCTCGTGTTAAATAACCACATGTTATTTAATCAGTAGCTGCCATTTATCGTTATATAGTCACTTACATGATCACTTAAGCTCAGAACGTTCGTTTTTTTTTTATTTAGAGTCATTTACTCTAATTAACGAAAGATGGTGATAAACACTCTTCCAAAAAAAACGATTCTCTTTATAAGATACATCACTTTCATAACTTCTAATTTATAAATACATTTGACAGATATGATAGACGTATCTGTCAAATAGTTCAAATTCTGACACGCATGGCAATCGGTGGAAATGTGTCATAATTGTTTAAAATGATATAGTCAGATGATTCCTGTCATCGTGCGGGATCGAGCCGTTTCAATACCTCAAGGCGCGTCTATGTTGCGCTAGAGCATTTTCTGAGACGCACTTAAAAAACGAGGATAGACTCCATTGTGAGGTCTCAGGGCGCCCCCGCCCCCGCGCCCGCGCCCGCGACGCGACGTGCCGTACGTGACCTGAGAACCCACACCTTAAAGCGTGTATATTGACGGGGCTAAGCCAGCCACCTTATATCTTACGACTATAGGAATGACTGACTTGACCCACCTCTATGGTTAAAAAACATTTATCAGTTACTAGGGGTAGAGTGTAAATCTCATTTGCTTTTTAATATTGGGATCGAACCCAACCAACCGAAGCAATTCGAAAACATTAGAGAAAATTTATTGCATTAATGAGGGACATTGAATACATACAATATGTTTACTAAGGGAAAAAATAAGTATCCTTCTAAATTATTGTAGTAGTATAGTACATAGCATAGATCTAGAGCGGTGTACTAGATGATACTTAGCTCTGGCGCATAAACAATAGACTAGTTTTGGCAAACTACATTATCTATACCCGGTAGGAAAACTTGAATTATCCCTTTACTTTACATGTAGCTGCACACTACTATATTCGTCCTGGCTGGGAATCGAACCCATAAAATCTAGCATGGCATTTAAGTACTAACAATATCGGACTACCATGAGGCTGACTAATCTTCATTCAAAATAAATAGATTCGGTAAATCTTCAATTTTATTAACGTCGAATAAAAAATGTGAAAATGAAAAATGAATTATAAAAGTACCGTTCATTGATGTTATCGGAATTATCACGTAACATATAAAATCCATACCACAGAATTTTATTAAAAAACTATGAATAACTTTAACCACAGACTAATATAATCAGCTGACATTTAAGTTCAAGTTTACTAACGATACTTGTGAGTATAGTATGAGAATATAAAGAGTGAGATCTCACCTGATCTGTCCCGCAAGTAGCGGATTAATGGCGTACAGCCAGTCGTGCACCTCCTTATCTCCCAGGGTCTGCAGCAGGTAGCCGCGCTCCTTGCTCACCACACTAAAACGATATCATCACTATCAATATCAAATGTACTACACCATGCAATATACACTGTACACTGTATATTACTTAATAAAGTATATAATAATCTTTCTTTTTCTTTTATAAAATGTTTAGTCTGTTTTTTTTAAAGACAACTTCCGCACTAATAATATATCATGTATCGCGAGCGACTTTACAAACATACATTAAACGGTCACAACGAACCACCAGACCCGGTACAACAATTTGTGGATCACACAAAGTATTGTCCCATGTGGGGATCGAACCCACAACACACAGTGCAACAGACAGTAGGAAGGGGCAAGCTGACCGCTTAAACCACTACGCCGTCCGTGCAGTGCAGTCATAATGTGTGTTATCATCAAATAACAGATGAGGTTATTTTATTTGTTATACTATATTTCGTAGTATAACAGCTATTAATCTTACATTCTAGATATACTGTGTTTTGGAACGAAGTTCCTTATGGGATGATGTGGCGAGAGGGATTTCACGAGAAAAGCGTACGTTACGAAAAAGAGCATCAGAGCGAGAGACAGAGAGAGAGAAAGTGATTCGTCTACTTGCATTTCATAACTCGAGAAAAATGCGGTTTTCTGATCGAGACAGACTGCGTATGATTTTTAGAGAATTTGGTGCGGAATGAAATGAGATAAGTCTTGTTTTCTACAATCAATGGTTTTTGAGTTTTTTTTTTTAATAGCTGTTTTTCTGTAAACAACTAGCTGTAGCAGATCTACTCTTTTTGTTTGTATATAAAAAAAAGTTAATTGTAAGCAAATTATTCTTTTTTGAATTAAACCTTGACTAAAATTTATAAATGATATATTTATCAAATAGCATAAGGAACGAAGTTCCTATCGGGTGTCTAATGACACCACACGACTTTATATAATTTAGTTATAGTTTAAATAAAGTAAAGAAGTACAAACCTGAAGGTATTGGGCATGCGGACCATCTGCTCCTGGTCCTCCGAGTACTCGACGTGTGCGTTGGCCAGGTTGATGACCGCACGCTCGATGGGGTCGCGCTCGTCGCGGTATATGAACACGTATGGCCGCCTCACCACCTGACACGACAACACCATATTATAATACCAAATAGTACAAATCAGCCGTCAAACTCTGCTAAATTATCCCTCCCTATATTGTATATACCATATATGACAACAACCGCCAAAGAGTCATCGAAGCAAAGAGTTTATATCACTTTTCAATTAAAGACAAAACATTCATCCAGCAACTATGCTCTAGTTGTATATTTTGTCAAACTGATTTAACTGACCACTATCCAGTATAGATAAGATTGGCGTAAGTAATTCCCAGTCATGTTTATCCAGTTTTGTCTATTACTGTAACTATAATTAAAAATGATGCTTTAAAGAGAAGACATTATAAATCTAAACAAAGTCTTACAAACTGCTATAATATAAAACTACATTAGGACTTTAATAATATCTAATCGCAAAGTGTTTTTGTTTATTATTCAATTTGGCCAAAGCATTTGATTCGATCTCTATATTAGTCTAACTGTAGAAGTTGGAGAGGTAGGGTATAATATATAACACAACTGAGTATACTTAAAAGCTACTTTACACGATAAAAACTCTGTGCAATAGTAAGTACCGACACGAGTTCTTTCCTCTCTGTCACCTACGGAATTCCTCAAGGCAGTGTGTCAGGTCCCACAATATTTATCGCTTATATTAACAACTTAAGAAACCGGCAACTTCTCAAAGGACGAATTACTTCCTACGCAGATGACACCTTGAGATGTTCCTTGAGATGTCTATCGAGTGGGCACGTAAGTTTCGAAAACCATTAGAATAGGGGTAAGGTGTAGCAGATGAGGGTTAGAGGCGAGTGGCGACTCACCAGCCAGCGCTTCTTCCAGCCGTGCGTGCCGTGCTGCAGCACGTTGAGGTGCCCGCGGCGCGCCACGGCGGCGGACACGCGCACCTCCTCGCAGTCGGGCACGTACAGCGCCGCGCCCGCGCCGTGCGCCGCCAGCCCCGCCAGCCCCGCCAGCCCCGCCAGCCCCGCGCCGTGCGCGCCGGCCCAGCCCGACATCGACTTCTCCAGCAGACCGCGCTCGGGCGAGCACAGCCTGCGGTACACAGACCCACTACATTGGGTTGGATTTTATCATAATAACGGAAACGCAAACTTAACAAAATAATAATAGGCAAACCGTTGAAAAAAAAAACATAAATTATATGACTGTACAGTAAATAAATATAGAACATATAATACAATAAACAAACAGACACAAACTTAGACTAGAACTAAGAAAAAAAAGAGATATAAAGGTAAAACGTAATCGAATATATCAAGTAAACGGGCACAAACTCTAATATTCAAAGTCATATTTTGCTTTTTTTTCTTACTGTTTCCTATTGTTAATTGTACATCTTGTATACAGCACTACTTAATAAAATACAGATTAAATATTGCAAATAACAGAATTATTACTCACTCGAAGCTACTGGCGCTATGTATGGAGGACAACAAGCTGGGTGTGGAGATGTCAGCTGACACACCCTCGTCGACTGGCGTAGAGGGAGACGCGGCCGTCTCCACCTCCTTGCCGGACGAACCTATCCTTCCTGTGGACACAATTTTAACATTAATTAACGAGAAATTTTGTTGTACTTTACAAACATACAGACATTAATACACTCACGCCGCTATCTATCCCGTTAGGTGTAGGGAGAAGTGTATTTAACTTTTACATTTTGCCTATAATAATTTAATAGGTAATCGCGATAGGCTAGGTAGCCTATCGCGATTACCAGGCGATTGCCATTATGTTCAGGTGAACATAATGGCAATAGCTTCTATCCAATTACTATTAGAAGTGAATGATGAGCCAAAGGAATATATCGAAGGTGAAAGGATGATATTGGCGTGAAGAAGTTAAAGCTCGACAAGCTCGAATAAGACAGGGTGGTTTGGCTCGAACTCGAATAACTCTAACTGCCTGGGAAAGCCTCTGGTAAACCTCTGCACATATTTCTGTATAATCTAGAAGGTTAAAAATGTAACCTAAGTAAGCTTTAGTAAATTCGCAAAATGTTAATTAAATCAGTCGGATAATAGTTAATATTTTAAACTCAAAAATAACTTTTAATGAGGTGAGTAAAATGTGGCATACATCTGCGTGCGTTACATCTTGTAACAAACTTAGTCAAGGACGGGAGTAACCGCTCAAAGAATATGAGATCCAAGTAAATATGGTGATACGAAACATTACACCGTGTGTGCGATTATTAATCATTTAATGACACATTAATTCAATCATTCCTCAAAAATAAACCGACATAAATATGAAATATTATTATTTATCCTATACCAGAAGCTGTGCATTACAATGTGTTCCAAAATGGAAAACACCTAATTATACTCCAATATGGCCTGTATTATTACAAAGACTGGTTAAGATTACAAGGGTAGTATGGTAAAGTTTGACATTATTACGTATAATACTATGGCATAATTTTATATAAAAAAAGGGTTTTAAATGTAATTCCCTTACCCTGCATGAGTTTGGCGTATTTAGTGGCGAGTTCCCTCTCCCGCGGCGTCATCTCCCACGGCTCGTACACGGACTCGTCGCGGGCGCACTCCGCGGCTGCCTTGGCCGCCATGTTGCATACCTCCTGCGAACACATACATAACTACTCTTATTTATTTCTTTAATCTCTTAATCACTTATAGAACTGTAGAAGTGAATTAATTCATTATTCATTTGTTAAGTAAGTTTATAAAAATGATTAGTTACTATTTTCAAGTTTGTTTTAATCTTGTAATTATTAAACCAAACATCAAATGTAATTATTTATTATTAACGATTTGACGAATTGTTGACGTCACAAATTGTTGCCTAATTTTTTTTAAGTTTCCAAAATAACTGACGAGCTTAAAAAACTTGGCAGTAAGTTTTTGGGGTTTAGTACTCACCTTCTCTGTCTTAGTGAAGTCGTTGGGAGCGACAGTGTTCTCGTGTCCGTGGCGCAGTCGCTCACGCAACGCTATCAGGTGTCGAGTGCGGCCAACTTGCTCCAACCGCGTCATCTTCTCTAATTCCCACTGTTACGTAATTACATATACCATTAGTTGTACAGCAAATCTGTTGACTTTTGGGTAACAAGACTTTATAATAGAGATTACTAAAATAAATTGCAGTCTATTACTTCTGGATATAATATAATAAAATGGTAATGTTCTAATGGTAAAAGTTCAGTAGCTTCGGAGTTCGTCGTCTGCAAACCAACAAATGTCGGCACGGCATATAGGAGTGTATAGGTCTCGGCGCTGCTGGTGTCGACATATAATATAACAATAATATATAATTTATTGTCTCCAAAAGATACATACAGGGAAAACACACATGAGTTATTACAATCACAACATGTACACTAATTTTGTTGACCTCTGGTACCCAAAGTAAGATTTAACTTGGAGTATGTGGTACCAGGGCTCTCGTACTTGATTGCAACAAGTAGTTGATGTGAAAGTATAGAGTAGCGTAGTTGCATATGCATGAGGTGAATTGCTTAAGGTAAGACTAACCTACAGAATACATAATAATATTATAATTATAGGTATATATCGCACTATTACATGTTTATATTTACTATTTTACAAAGTATGTATAGTAGTGATGTATTGATGTATAGTAGTGTGTGTGTGTGTGAGTGTGTGTGTGTGTGTGTGTCTGTCTGGGTGTTTGTGTGTGTGTGTGGTGCATTTGAATTATAGTATACCTAGTTTAATCAAATTTTCTGTATCTTCATAAGATTTGGACAAGAGTCGTATGGTAACTTTTTTCTTGCATTGCGATCTAGTTAATGAATAGATGTCGCAGTAATCATTAGCAACATTATATAAGTGAGAGCTTACGACACATATAGGAGTGTACCTGGTGGTCGAAGATGAGCGAGTCCCCGCGCGGGCGCCAGCCGTGCAGGTTCTCCTCGCCACGCACGTAGGTGCCGCTGGTGTCGAGCACGCGGCGCTGGCGGCGCTGGACGCCAGGCTCGAGCGCGCGGTGCAGGCTGAGCTCGTACACGCCCGCCATGTGGTCTGCGCGGGCGGCGCGGGACCCGAACAGCGCGCGCCGCAGCGAGCGGCCCGTGCGCGCCTCGCGCCCCACCACCACCAGCGACAGGTCCTTCGTGATGATGGCCGGCCGGCTGCAGTTCTCCACCTACACCACCACACACGCTTTTAACAGTATGTAATCGAAAGTTTATTAAACTAATAGGGATTAAAGTATGAAATTGCCGTTGTATTGTATAGTAGGTAATAGTGGTAACTGTTTGGTGGTCTCTTCATGGTGTTATTCACTATAGCTTTCTCAGGTCTAGTCAGGCAATAACAGCAGATGTTTACAGTTCCGAATTTCAAACAATGATGGCGAAACTGTGCAGTGAAACAGCCCCATGATAACGCAAGACTATCATACTACACGAGAAACCGTTGTTACTATACAGGAGCTGCAGTTAGAAACCATAGGTCATCCTCCATACTCGCGAAACCTTGCTCCAATGTACTACCATTTTTCGTGATTAGGACAATTTTATACGTTATAAAAAAAACTTCCTAGGAGGCAGTACAAAATGCTTTCACACAGTTTGTCGTATCTTGATCTCCAGAGTTCTATCGTAGAGGCATAAATGAACTTCCGTTTAGATGGCAGCAATGTATAAATAATAAGGGTAAATATTTTGATTAAATAAATATGTTACATCTTATAAAAGAACGAGTTTCAATATTTCGGTATAAATCGGCAATTTCATACTTTAACCCCTAATAAAATAAAACATCGAATATAATTTTATACACTTATTATCTTAATATGCGAAAGATAGTGAGGGTCGTGGCTAAGTGATAATAACCGAGTAGGTTAGCACATTACAAAGTTAAGCGATTCTAACCAAGACGGTCTATGGATGGGTGACCATTCTTAACACATTGAGACCCTTCCATGCCTCGAAGAGCACGATAAGCCATCGTTCCCGGTTGCCATACGAACATCTATGGCAATCGTTACGGGTAGTTGAAGCCCAAATACAGTCTATCTACAGAATTTCGATATCGTATTTGGGTTGCAGAGATCTAATAGCAGGGGCTCAACGTAAAAATTGAATTAAAGTCGTATCGTAGTAGATTGAAAACCTAGTTTGTGAAAAAGCTTAGAGGAAGATGATATGCGATTTATATTATTGTAAAAATAATCCGATTATCACACAGTATATTCTGTGTCGCGTTGTGTATATTGTGTCTCTTGCTTGTACTCCTTCTGTCTTTTAAATAGTATATCGTGTTGTTGTGTGTATAAATTATAACAGTAAGTGGATATTGACTTTTATTTATATTCACCCGTAAGTACACATACTGCTCCACATTACTATACTATAAAAGCGGAGGTTTGTGAATGTGTGTGTTTTTATGTTTGTTACTTCTTCACGGTCAAACGTCTAGACAATTTTTAATAAAATTTAGTATGTAGGTAGCTGACACCCTGGATTAACACATAAGCTACTTTTATCCCGAAAAATGTAGTGTTCCCGTGGTATGAGTAAGGAATTGAAAACTCGCAACTAATGTAGCGAATATCAGTTTATAATTATACGAAAATCAGAAACAATACTCATTTGTATTAAAGTGTTATTTTATTGTAGTCTACCTTTCCTCTTAAAAATATTTAAAAAAAATACACACATCTATTAAAAAATCGATTATGGATACATTTAAAAGTATACACGACGTAACGTGACGTAACTACTAAACATACCTATATTTTCCCACAGACTCATTACCTCACCTCTTTAAATAGTAGTCTGCCTACTGTAGTCTGTTAAAACTCACCTAGTATAAGATCTGGACTTTACAAATCTGGTCATACTGATATCTACACTGATTGGGTTATGTGATGTTTTCACAAATAGTTTAAGTCAAATCATCAAAATGTATGAATACACACTTAAATGTCTTAGTCGGCCTGTCGGTATTAAAGAAATATAAAGATATAAATATCTCTCACCTCTAGATAAGCACTGAGTGTGATGTAGACCACTTCCCCGTTAGCGCTCACCCTGTTGAGGAGGGGCGATCCGTGAAGACTACTGTCCCAAGCTGCCTCGAACCTAACCCAATAAAAACACCTCATGAAATCCTTTCACTTTAACATACATCCCACTTTATATAATTTCTATCTTTTGTTCCTTATATTTTAATCACAAAAAATAGGTAATTGCTCACCTGAATACAGCTCTGTCATCAAGAGATGGTCTTTCTCCAGGGAACAGTCCAAGAGACAGAGCGCCATCCTCGTCTCCATCTGATGTGTCTTCGTTAGCTTCTGGTGTATTACGGATGCGGCCTACAAGGTAAGTTAAGTATATAAGTATTCTCTCAATCATGAGTAGGAAAATTTAAAAAAATTTAAAATAGAGTAGCCTAGTTTAAATTGTTACTTTATTATATATCAGTAATAATTTTCTGAGTTCGTTATTCGCCGGTATGACATACCAACAACGAGCTCTCTGACATCGCTCCACTGCAAGTCCTGGGAGGGCTCGTGAAGGATCGTGATGCGGATACGGCGCTGGATGCCCTGGTGCAGCAGGAACAGGCCCCGGCACGGCAATTCATCGCTATGCTCCACAACCTGCGTTACCGCGATGTAGGTGTAATTAATGTAGCGAATATCACTTTATATCATGTGTTCAACTTAAATTGTCTGTTTGTGAAATTTTGATAATGTTTATTTTAGTTTATTTATATAGCGTGCAATAAACTTCAGTATGCTTAAGTTACGTTGAATTTTAAGTTATGTTTGTGTTGTTTCAGATTGACCGGTAAATTAACATCGCTAAATATACGTAGAATATATGTGTACACACATGTACAAACTAAGGACCTTTTCAAAATCAGTTAAAACACTATAATATGTATTTTATCATTATCACCAAAGTTTTATTCATTAAAAATGAAAAGGCAACCTCCATCTAAATTTGCAAATAGACTACGTTCGAGAGCTCGAGACGTAAGACGAGCGAAGGGTACTCACGGCGGGCACGTAGTCGCCGCTGGGCGCCAGCTCGCAGATCTCGAACCACACGAGCAGGTCGTGCTTGGAGTGCAGGTGCGAGCTGCAGCACGGCGCCGCCACGGCCGCCGCGCCCCACTTGGGGCTGCGCACGGGCGCCGAGATCGGGATCGACGGCGGCAGCATGCGCCGCGGGGGCAGCCGCCCCGACACCACGCCCTCCTGCTTCGCGTCCTGACACACACCATACTCATTCTTCACTTTTTCCTTTTTTAATTATGGTTCCAAATTGGATGTGACAACATACATACAAGAAACTTACATAATAATAAGTGACGAAATACAGTATTCATTTAAATAAAAAATAAGATACAAACAAAATACTTACAATGTACTACAATACAATATAATAAACATGGAAAAATAAAATGGTTTGAAATAAAGAAATCATGCTGGTTTCAATTTTTATTTTAAATTATTCTTGTGTCGAATTGAGAGTGGTCGATGTTTTGGGCAACAGCAAGTTTGGATATGTGACCTAACTTACTCAAGGTGTTGCTTTCAATCGTCATTAATCCATATAACAATATTTCACCCAAAGAATGTAGGACTCTTTTTGTCTTTCAAAATACTCTACAGTTTCATATTTGAAGTATCCTGTTAGAATCTAGAGTAAACCCCATGCGTGAGTAATTTGGTCTCAATCATATTTAACAGCCAAACTTTATGTGCCAGGATTATTAATTTTATACTATTTTACCTTGTGAAGAGGATGCTGCTGGTAGTGGCCAAAAACTTCGAACACGATGGGCTGAGTTTTAATGTATTCCACGAAAGATTTCGTTACTGGCACTGTGATCTGTAACACCACAGAATAACATTAGGAACAAAAATTTAGTAAGTACACGAGGATTTTAAACCAATAACAATGGTGTGGTACTTATTTGTATTACGAGTACTGTATACTGTTATTACTTATTACAAAGCTTGAGATAATATAATGCAGGTATAGGTACTGTATACTGTTATTACTTATTACAAAGCTTGAGATAATATAATGCAGGTATAGGTAAAGTATAGAATGTTACTACTTTTAAATCGAAAACTTTGGATGGATGTTGGTCACTCAATAACGTCAGAACACCTGATCTAGATGAACTATGGAACACAGATAAATTATTGTCTAGAATAGCACCTAGGCTACTTTTTAACACACCAAATCAAAATGATAATTATGCGAGGGAAGTGTCGAGCTGAAGCTAGTATGTTAGTAAAGTAGATTTATTAAAGTTATCTTACGTTTTGGACATGATAGAATCCGAGTGGTGTATTTTTGCCTGCGTTCTTAACTGGCTCAGTGGAGAATGCGTCTTCGTTGCGATGCAGGAAGCTAAAACAAACAAAATTACAATAAGAAATCAATATACAGATTTGTACTACATTTTACTACTAGTGAACTTTCACATTAGATTATAAAATGAAATAACGGTACACTTTCTAAAAAGAGGATCTATATAGAGCTCATCTCATGATCTACCATGCTTTATGGTAAGCAGGGATCATGTTCTGTGTATGTTCACCTTACGCAGGGCTGTGCTTGCTTCAGTAGCACAAGGACCTACAATACCATCAAAACTCCGTTTGACTCCTATTCTTTAAATTATAGATCTCACAGTACCATACTTTACATAGACTTAAATATGCAATTAGATACGAAAGGTTAACATATAAAACTTACTTAAATTGGCAGAACACATCGGCGTAGTCAGTAGACACGCTGTGTGCCTGTAGCACGGTCACGCGGAAGGTGAATTCCTTGCCCAAGGTCAGGTGGTCAGGAAGGTCTTCTTCCTTTAGCTCTGAAGCAAGAGAACTATCTCCACGGCCGCTATCATTATCGCATTCACCCATTGCCAATTCTACAAGAAATTTATAATATTAAAAATGTAAAGTCCAAACTATTCGATAAGCTAATAACAAGAACAAATTAGTAGAACAAACAAAGAACAGAGGCAGAAAAATAACAGAACAGACGCGCATAGTTCGAGCCCCAATTTAAACGATTGTCTAAGTAGTTAGTAAGTGACTACTAGGTTTGGGCTATATTTAACTGAAACAACTCAAAATATTAATCTTAATTTCTGTATTTAATTGACTGTCTGGCTAGAACTTCTACGTGAATTACTTATCATTGGGGACAAAAAAGTAAAAACGAGTAAGATAACAAAATGAATTAGAAAGTAGTAAAGTATAGATACGACTTTTTTAACGGGGTGGTCTTATATCTTACATAGGCTATATAGGCAAGAACAGCCCCCCCAAAATCAGGGGAGGGGGCACGAAGGGTGTCAAGTGCTTGCGTCGCTTACCATACGCATACAAAAAGTCGTAGTAACAGAAACAGTACTCTTCTTGTACGACTTTGGCTTCATGATGCCTTCGTAATTACCTTCAATTTTGATATTAGAATCTTGCATATCATTGATGCGTTCCTCCAAATTGAGGGCGTTGTTCTTGTCTACACTATTGTTCATATTGTTCATGTTGTTGACGTTCGTGATCGCCTTGACACGTCGCGTTGGCACCACGTCGTCATCGAATGAAATCTTCGCGGACTGCTTTACACCCGCTGCGAATTCCGCATTGTCTACAAACATAAGATTTAGATTAAATTAAGCATTAATTATGAATAAATCAGCTTGAAATTAAAAAATGAAATATATATATTCGTTGGTATGAGAAGATAATATTGTGGTACTACAAGGCAAACGAACAGACGGGTGAGCTGATGGTAAGAACACTTCCTCCCCCCAACCTTGATTTTAAGAATATATTAACGTTATAAACACGGCCTTACTTTTCTCAGCGTCGATGACAGCTTGCACGGCCACACGCAGGTAGCCCTTCACGTCTCCTTTCTCATTCACTATCGCTACTTTATGAATAAGTGGGACGGGGTACAGCAGGTTCGATAGATAGACGAAGCTCCTGTTGATAAACAGAATGATTAAACTATTGAATAAATTACCGAATGAGTGTATGAATGATGAATAATTGTAAATAACGAATTATTAGTTTACTTGCTGTACTGTGCTCTATCCCTGATGGTGCAAATTCACCATGACTTCATCCTGATAATCACTTTATTTCTATTTAAAGTGGCAACAACACTTGGTAGAAATTAATTAATTGCCATGGGAAAAGTTTACATTTATTCATTGCCAAATGCCTCGTTTTCAAATATCTTTGAAATAGTTATATTAAGTTTATCTTAACAGGTTTTGAGCTAATTAATATAAGTCAATATTCCACAAATATAATGTACTAACCGTCCAACTAAACGGAACCAAGGGAACCTGTCGTAGAAGGGATCACCTCCAGTGACCGATTCAATGTTGTGGTCCGGCGAAGTGGGCGACAGTTCCGCCTCATTGTGGTACATCTCACGCATTAACTCCAGCCGTTGTCTGTTGGTGAAACACGATGATGAGCTTTATACAAATTACTTTAATGTCTATTTTTTTTCAAATAGACCAAAAGTAATCAAGATTGTTTAGGACGATGTTTTTTATAATATAATGAGTTTTTTTATAGACCCATTTAGAAAGTAATGTCATTCAAGCAGGCATGCTATTAAACTATACAAAACAGTGGTAACATTTCTCTAAAAGTAACTCTAGAGCACTCTATGGTTTCAAATACTGATTGAATGAAAAGCTAATTATTTTTAATTAAATCGATAACTATTATTACGGTAAAATAAATACACAGACTTGCGTGATTAAGTAAAATATTATATCAGTAGGTCTGCTAATTTACGCATGCAATATAATACATTTAATTATATAAAGCATTAGCGCTTTTAAGCTGAAATAAAAGAGGAAACAAAAGGAAAAATACACAAAGTACTACAAATAAGTTTATTTTATGAAGTAAATAATGTACATTGGTATTTGTAAGTAAATACAAGTATTATAATATAAATAGGATGTATAAACCAATAGATATGTTTCGACGGGATTAGGGGACTAGGGTTAGTGACCATAGCTGTCGATCAAGAAGTCGTGTCTTCGATTAGCATCCAGGACATACAATTGTGTAATGATTATTTGTTCTGTTTCTGGATTTGATTAATCTATAATATGTTGTTATTCATCATCTGGTCACCGATGTGCTGGCTCTGCCAATTTGGTATCAGACAGCCGTGCGTGAGGTAGTTAAATTAATAAAATTAAATAAAAGTTAGTTAAATATGCATAAAATAGTGCTTTCATACCAAGTGTAACAGCAAAATGGGTTTACTTACAATAATTACTCTTTAAAATAATATTGAGTCCTATTTTATCTAACCAAGGGCTCTAATGTCATCTTAGTTTATATCGTATTTAATAGATTCCATTTCATATTGTGTAGGTATTCTATGTTGTTTCTATTTGCTTTCGTGAAGGGATTATTTTAGAAGAGCTATATATTTCTGTTGTTACACCTTTTATGAATATATTATTAATCTTAGTATAATCGAAATGGATTTTTTTGGAAATAAACACCATGGAATAATGTTTAAGATCCACCACAATGCTTAATATAAGTAGGTACACGTAGATATGAACAATGTGGAACGTTATCACTCGGAGAGGTCTCCTTTGGGCAATCTTTGAATGTATCATTGATTATAGACAAAAGAATGACTGGTAGTTCACTGCAAAACAAAGTATATATGAGAGACAGCCGCTGCGATAGTGCCTTGATAGCTAGGTACAAGGTGTCGAGGTGTTTAATACAACTTTACTATAGGTGTTCGAAGGACCAATGTGCGTGTCCTAGCAATAGCGCCCTAAGCTCGTGTCGGTATGCCCAGATATGTAAAGCTTGCAACACACTGTTCAGGTATTTGATTGTGCTACTGATTTGATAGTTTCATTGCGATTGAGAGAAAAAAAAAACACATCTTATCTGTATAAATAAAAATGTTAAGTTGGTTTGTGTGCGATTGTAAATTCTGCACCGATTAAGCTCAAAATTTGACACGATATACAACACGCTTCAAGGATGGTCTTTGTCTATTTTTCGTGTTCGTTTTTTTTCGATGTGGTTTTGTGGCGCATTTTTCATCGATACAACCACAATGTGCTATACCAAAGCGTGGCAGGGAACAGCTTGTTTCATAGAAAATAGCTTTTTGTACAGGTTTTGGAGTTATTTTTTTAAACAGATGTTAACGAGCAGGCAGGTCATTACCACCGCCGATGCATGGACTTCTGCAACTAAAAATACATAAGTGGTTTGCCAGCCAAAGTTAAGTCATATTTAAAATGCAACACTTTTAAAATTTGAATTAATTATTAATCTGATCTCATTAATACACAACTGGAAATTGTATGCAAGTAGTCCAGCAGAATGTGGCTTGTTCATATTCGAACATGTTCGAAGACCCAAGCGATTATATATTTAAAAACACTCGCTTTCTTTCTCTGCTTAGAAAGAAATATTGCCCAATGCCAACAGGTACTAGATTCTTTGAATGTTCGTTTATATTCTTTGACTTGTGCACTTTCTTAAAGCACGAGCTATGTATAAGCAATAGTTCAAATATCTCAGACTGCACAAAAGTGCAACTGTTTAAATATGTATTACATGTATAAAAAACTAGGAACAATTTACAGTTTTGGATTTGAAACATAAACAGTCGATGATAAACTATAGTCCATATAGTCCATAGTCGATTAAATATATTATTAAAAAATACTAAGAATACACATTTCATACACAGTAATTTCACCACATTAATATTCCTTTATAAATTTATTTTTAGGTAATGTATGCAGTTTCACATACCCGATTTAAATTTCAATAATTTTCAGGTATCGTATCTAGTGGGGAAACGTAGTCTTGCGGCTGTATAATATGACGAGACACTATAAACATTTTAACTTATGATATCTATGGGAGACACACAGACATGCTGAACTAGTGCAACTCCTAAGCCAGTGTAACTCTGTTACTCTGTGCTATCCAAAAAATGAATAACAATGTTGATAAAAAAAACTTGAGATTATTTTTATGAAAAGGTTCAATGAACTTTCAGTTCAGCGGGCACAACCAAATGACCGGTGGATAGTGAATCGCAGGCATCGCTTCAACGGCCGTCGACCTCCACAAACCTCGAGGGCAGCAGGTTGGCCAGCGAGAGGCGCGTCTGTTGCGCACACGCCGATATACAGTGCAGAATGTCGGCGGGGGGCGCGGGGCCGGCGGGGGCCGCGGGGGACGCGGCCCCGGGCGGCGGTGCCAGCACCAGCGGCGCGGGCTCGTCGTCCTCGGCGCACGCGCTCTCGTTCATGTTGTATATCTGGCGCATCAGCTCCAGCCGATGGCTACAACCAATACACCGCGCTGTACCCCTCTACCCCGCTCCAAGGTACCGCTGACTCCACGTTTGAGAGGATATGCCTCTATCTCGCTCTTACACCCATTTTTATAAAGGCACACTACGATTCAAAATACGAGCTATCCTTATTTAAAAAAAAGAATTATGTTTAAGTCATCTACAGAGAACAACTCTAAGAGTGTTGCTATATACACTATTTTTCACAAAAAGGCATTCCCTCTCATTTCGTACGAGCAAATGATCGGAATAAATTCATAAATATTGTTAGAATTATTTTTAATTCAAATAAATAGAATTTAATGTGAAATCACAAATTAAATATTTAAAACTTTCTTTTCATTTGCTTTACATTCCCATTAAATGAAAGACACTTCCCTAACATATGTATATATACATAAATATATAGCATTAGAAATACATTTAAAAGAAAATAAAAAAGCGGCAAATAAAACAAGCGCTATTAAAAATAGTCAAAACGTTGCAACTATACAATAGATGTTCTAGAATTGTGTACTTACCATTTTTATACAATTATATACAAAATAATTATACAGAAATATAACCCTATTACTATATATTTCTGATTTATATATTTTTTTTTACAATTAAAGTGTTACTGCTCGACACGGCACCAGCAAAATAAGGGGTAGTTTCTCAAATTACAACAAAACAATAAAAACAAAACAGACAATATGAAAGAGGAACAAAACAAAATGCAACACAGTTAAGAAAATATATTTTTTACATCATTAAGATGTAGTCTTTTTATTCCAAAATTAAATAAATATAAAATTAACAAAAGTAATAAGTATAAATCCTCATCATAAATTACGCACACCATCCAACAAATCAAACAAACCAACTGTATATTTTAAGAATTATTTAAAAATAATTTAAAAATCTGTTAAAATCATAATATATAACTTTAGATTAACCACTTATTCGACCCTACCGTTAAAGGTATTCTCTTCCAGTGGCGTAGCTAGGCGTGGGCGAAGTGGGCCATCCCCCACGGCCTCGCACTTGAGGGGCCTCGCGAGGCGCTTTTAAATGCGAGGCTCCAGGACTTTACCACAAATGACTTACTAATTTGATCATATTTACGTTCAAAGTGTGTTTGTTTCGGTCCCCAACTTAAGTGCGACTGCGAGGCAAATAACTATCTTTGAAGACTGCGACCATTACATTCACGGAATACGAGACTTGTCAGCTATGAGCAGAGGCGGATCGTGAATTTTTCGGGCCCTACGCTACTACTAAGTAGGAGCCTTTTTTTGTTGACGGGGTGGTAAATCCCTTTAAATCTGCAGCGCCTTGGAGATGTAGGAGTATATGACGTTTCCTCTAAAAACACATCTCAGGCCTCAGGCGCTCAACTCTGAGAGGATCTGGACCATGTGATTTCATGTCCGACCCGGGCTATATCGGGAGAAGCCGCAGGCAGGACCCAGTCTGGTCATAGACCCTCGTGTCCGTATCCAACAGGATATCCAAAGGTACCAAACGTGCCAGGACTGTCGCCGAGCATTTTGACCGGATGATGCCACGAGCACTCGGGGTATCCATCAAAATACTCGTCGAGCTTCAGCGACAGTTCAGTGTGAGGTCATGCCGTTTGACCTCGACCTCTGTTTACCCCACCTTAATTAGCGAGCGGGTAAGAGCTGAACCTCCGCGTTTCCTGTAAACCCACAGGGATTCTATCTTATTGCGCACTAACCGCAGGCCCAGACCACTGATCTTTTGGGCGACACAGAAGAAGTCCTAGGACCGACGCCTGGGGAACCCTACTTGTAACCTCCCTTCAAGGTTTTTCGCCACCTCGATCCATGAATAGATCGAGGCAGTATTTCACTACGGCCCACCGCCTCCAACTCTATAAGGCGCAAGACCGGCCGTATATGGAATACTATTCTCATCTCTATGCAGGGCACCCCAGTACTAGCTTCTCCTTCTGGACCACATCCAACGAAGAGCGACTCGAATCTTCGATAGCTAAAAGATCTCTGATCGGCTCCGTCTTTTGGCGTTATGTAGAGATATAGATTCACTCTGCATTCTCTATCGTATATATTATGAAGAGTGCTCCAAGGAATTGTTAGAAGGCAAAATGTTCATCGCCATCACTTGGATAATTGGCACTCCGCCACTGTGGGATTGTCAATACACTTTTTGCCTTGCACAACCAATCTGTGGAACAAATTATCGTCTATGGTATTTCCGGACCGATACAATCTTTAATAAAAGAGCGTACTCCTTTCTCAAAGGCCGGCAACGTGCTTGTGACTCCTGAGTTGCAGACGTTCATGGTCAACAGTCTGCTCGTTCTTCCATAAATTTTTTGAAATAAATGACGTAAGTTCCAAACTAAAACCTTTTTTCAAATTTTTATGCTTTCTAATATTCTGCCATCGCGCATTGTTTTTCACTACCATGAGTAGGTATGTCGTGTCAAAGCCTTGGGAACAAAAGTAAAGGGTCCTCGCTGATGCAACTTCGCCCACGTCTATATTAGTCCACGCTACGCCTACTGTTCGCTTCACACAGATTAAATACGAGTACATATATTTTATATACACATTCATATACCAAAACCTAATTAATTAAATAAATTTTAATTTCTAATAAAGTTGTAAAACCTAAGTTATTTGCCAATATTTATTATAATCTAATTTTGATCTCCATATTTTCATTCGTACTGATCTTTGTGGTAGTTTCTATCCTTAATTGAATTTAGTTAAAAAACGAAAAGACTCGGATTCCTAATTTCAAATTTTTCAAAATAGATTGACGTTAAAATGAATTCTAACTAAGAAAATTCTCATCATTTATGTATGACGTTGCAAACTTTTTTCCATTACAGAATCAAACTCCAATCACAAAAGGTCACAACTCCAGTATTTAAATGTATAACTTACCGTAATTTCTCTAGGGTCCAATAATGCGTGGCTCCGTTCTTGGTGTCGGTGACTTCTACCGCGACGACGGTGGGTGCGCTGGGGCGGTACTCGTCGTCGGCGTCGTCGCGCGGCGCGAGCTCGGCCGGGAGCGGCGAGTACGGAGTGTCGGTCAGCAGCGTAAATTGGAATTGAACCTTCTTGCGAAGCTCTACTGATATCGCGTTGGCTTCCTGTGTTTGAGAACATGATTAAATAAAACTCGTTTATCTAAAATACTTTTTGACCGAATTTAATTTAATAACTTTGTAATAATATCTGATTATAGCAGATGAGTAATTTCGGTAATTTATATTAATGGGGTACAATATACTTATATTTATCGGATCCTTTGTCTGAATTGTACACATTGTAGTCAAGAAAAAATTGAGATTTTTTTATGGTATAAAGCGTAAACGAACATACGCGTCTCCCAGAATTGTTAGGGGGAATTTAGGGGTCCTCACTCACTCGGTGATAAATGTTCAGTATTGTGAGAAGTCGTCTTTGTTATTAGTTAGTTGATATAAGAAAGTATTTGTAACCTTGAGGAAGATGGCGTTGCCCCACAGGTCGTCTCGCAGCGACGTGAACTGATGGTACTTCCACTTGCGGAAGGCCCACGCCGCGAGCCCCACCTCACGCGCCGACCACTCCGTCTCGAACAGCGGGTTCACTGCACAGTACCACTCACACCTTAGCTTACATCTACTTATTTTATTTATTTAGACAAACAGAGGTTTCCTCCTTTCATTATAATTATCGAAATACCAAAAAGTCTAATAAAGTTCTTTGATAGCTCGAATTTGATTCGAGTAGTCAAAGTTTAGGGTGAAGTGCTTATGAATTGTTCCCGACAATTATAATCCCAAAACATTTAAGATCATTCACCTAATTCAACCGTGTCAATTTGAACACAACTCACTATTTGGAAAGTTCAGATAAACTTATAAAGTTGAAAATACTTTAAAAAAAAAATATATCATATGTATTATGCAATTACGAATTTCATTAGTTTTATGGCATTGCCCGTAACATGTAAGTACATTGTGATGAAGATCTCTTACCGAATATGTCCTCGTCATTGTGGAAGTCCTCCGGCGTGTACGAGCTGTACATAGACATGGTGACGCTCTGCTCCTCCACCTGGCGCTGGAGGGCATCGATACGGGCCTCGTAGTTCTATATGACAAACAAACAGACGATTTTTTATTCTATACAATGAGTGTCCTCTTTGACACAACTGTATGATTTATATTTTACACGTAAATTTTCACAAATTTTGTACAAGACAGAAAGACATTTAAATAAAATTTACAACACAGAACTATCAAAAATGAGGCCAATCTGGTAGCACTTAAGGATCCCTGTCTATATGTAACATCAAGTGCTACACAGACAAGCAAGGTGCAAACATATTATAAAAAATATTTGACAGCGATTAAGTAATTGCTTCATTTTCATTTAAAATATTTTTTTATCAGTCCTCCTCTGGACAAATATAATTTAGCAAAACAATAAAACAGTATAAAAATAACTATCTCCAGAAGGTCTTTAGTCCCTTAAATTCCAGTCCCTTTCAAAAATTCAAAAACGTGTTCCAAAATATTCTCTCATAAAGTCAAAAAACGTACCTTCCGTTGCTCCTCAAACTGCTGATCAGCATGCTCCTTCTCCCTACGGAACTGCTCCTCTAGTGCCATTAGACGCTTTTGCATCTCGGCCTTCAAGTCAATACCTTGTTTCTCCAATAACTCACATTGGGCGAAGTCCCAGTCGACGGTCTCGCCATTGCTACTTGCTGTAGGCACAAAAAAAATTGAGTCACCTACTCATAGTCGTTAAATCGGACTAGTTAGAGCCTGTATTGTAGTAAAGTATGATTAATATCTACAAATAGTTATATATTAGATACTAAATACAAACATAGAAAATTAATATCTAGATACAGAACAAAACGATGATTTTTATCAAATAGTTATTTATTATAGGTTGGAATCGAACCCACGACCACTGGCTCAGCAGTCAGAATGACTGACGACGAGAACGACAGGTGAAAATGATGTAGATTTTACAAATTGGAGTCGTGAATTAATTTAAAAAAAGACTTTTAATTCATAAGCGTATTAATAATTGAGTTTTGGCAAGAGTTAAAATTAAAACGAAAACATCTCAAATAAATAATTGATGCTCCCTTAGATAACCATAGTGTAAAATATATTGTTTTAAGGTTTGCTTACCATCAGCATTAGCCTCTCCAGCTGTCTCAGTGCCTGGAGTTTCCTTACTGACGGGCTCCTCGCGCGGCTGTCCTGGATGGGTGAAGCGGAACACATGGTTCTTGCCCATAATCACTCGAGAGCCACTCTTCAAGATTATTGGCTCTTGCACCTAAGTTAAAGTTAACATTCGAATTATTATCTTACATAAATTCGATGGCCGTAAATAGTTTAAGTTATAAATATATATATAAGAAGAAACGCATGCGCAAATACAATTTTATTACTACTATTATTACGATTAGGGTAAAAAAAAGTTGAACCGACTTCAAACAATACTAACAAATAGCACTATAAACCTAGCAGCATTTAATTACCTCTCGTCCATTGACGTATATAAGCGCCTTGTGATGGGGAATGAGCAGAATAACTCCGTCTGTGTTTTCGAAGATGCAATGCTCACTGAGGATGTGAGATCCAGACAACTGGATATCTTGAGGCACGTCGGCTTCAGAAGTACCAAGGCGGGTTACACCTAAATAAAAATTAATTGTAAGAGAAAGAAACTATCGTTTCGTAAAGCTTGAAACCTCTGGCTGATCAGGGCGAGGGGGTTGATCGACTTGTCACTATTTTTTTAACGCGAATAATAATAACAATTATATTTTCGGACATCTGACACACAACGCCATCTAGTTTTAAACTAAGCAGAACTTGTACTACGAAAGCTAGATTGACTGATAGAATACTTATATACCTTTTGGTAAAACAATACATATTATACATAGCAAAAACATCCAAACTCCGAAACAACAATTTGCAGATCATACAAACATTTCGTCCGTCCCGTGAATCGAACCTGAGACCTTAGCACAGCAGTCACAAACATAATATACATAATACATGATATACAAAATTTTATACAATCTTTACTAAAAAATATATATTTAATTTGACTATTAGGGCATGATTTATTTATATAATGACGCCGTAGAGATAGCCCCTTCACAAGGAAATCATGATCCAGGAAAGGAATGATTTCCTTATTTAGTAAACGTAAATCTCTATTAAAATGTCATACAGTATTGATTTTATTACACTAACCATCTTTGATGTAGTAAAGCAGACACTCGGACAGATTTGGATCCTCGTTCAGATTGACAAGATGCGGAGTCTTTTTAGGTGAATAAATGCCAACCGTAATTCCTTCTTTTACGGCAAGACCCATCTCGGCGAAGACAGCCTCACGCTGGACCCTGATCTGCTCTGTACGCTTCAGTTTTTCCTCCCATGTCTCGTTCAGTTCTAAGAATTAAAATGAATTTATTCAGTATTCGATTCTGATTTATGTATATGAGACTATAACTAAACTGTTAGACTTGTGTCAAAAAAGACGTAGGACACAGAATTTTTAGAGATATCCGCTTGAATTGAAGTCCGAAGGAGATATCATAGGCTGCGGTTAATCAGTATTATTAGTACAGTGCAAGTGGTCCCAATTTCCTGCTGTTGAAGGTACTATTAATATACACCAGTAAATTTTGGGAGTTGTCTACAAAAACTTACTTTTAAGAAGTCTTTAAGTTTCAGGGTCTAGCTTGGATTGTTCATTGCTAGCGTCAATCCACTCTTAGTAGAAGCAATTCATTTTAGTACAAGAAAATACATTTCTATGTGATCAGGAGACAAAATAAATTATGCGAATTACAGGCCTAATTACTTCTAGTTACCTGCAATCAGTTTCTCCGAAGCTTGCAGCTGGTCGACGGCTTCTTCGGCGATGGTCGTAGCAGCTCGGGACAACTTCGGCGACAGAACCTCCGCCTCGCTCTTCTTGCGTTGAGGCGACGAGTTCTCCTCGGCTGTTGTGTCATATTATATTTTAAACCGATGATCAAAACATACTCGTAGTTCTATAAAATTTAAAACATAATTCTACAAAATTTAAAGACGGAAAGATTTTTATTCATTTATGTTCACAACGATTTAGAAAAATGTAATAAATATAAAAGAAGCTTACTCTTGTTTCTATAAGTTTTAAATTTTTAAAAATCGTTAATTTTAAAAAAGTATTACAATAATGCACCACCATTTTTAGTGCAAGATTGATGTGCTAAGACACTTCTGTGTGTGCACATATGTATATACTATACACTATTGTACAAGTAAACAATGTGTATAGAATATAACTAGATATTAAACAATTGATACGATTACACTTACTAAATATTATATGTATGTATATATATGACATCAACATTATTCTATATCGACACAAATATATTGGAAAACATGCAAGGCCTCTGAAGCTAGAAGCTTATATTTTGTAGCAATGCCATTGCGACCGTTTGCGACCAACTTTGATATTAACTTTTATTTTATTATGTCGCCAATGTTTGCAGTATGGCCGCCAACGGACCAATCTTGTCACCAATCCGTTGGTACAATCGAGTTTGAAGTGAGTTAGTTATATATAATAGGTCAGGTAATATTTTCTAAATTTTATGTGAGAAGTTTATGAAGCTATGTTTTATAGACTAATCTATTTAATAAAAAATATTGTTTGTATATATGTCCTCTATGAGTTCCAAAACCATTGACCAGATTGTGATGAAACTTTGATATTGTGTTTTGAGGGCGCCCACGACGATTCCTGGGACATAAAATCTATTTATAATTTTATTATTTTTCATCTCTAATGAAATTTATTTATTACACTCTCTATTTATTTACGTTTTACGTGGCATTGCAAAGCATACCGGGTACAGCTAGTATCTTTTAAAAATGGTAAAGTAAAACTAGATGTGTTCTTCATCCCTTAATTTTCACCATCAGAGTTACTTGACAGTTAAAGTTGGTACATCTTTTCCAAAATTGAATGACAAACTCAAAGTAAAAACGCTTCAAGCGTTTTTACTTAAAATTTTACATGTTTTATGCTTTCGTTACTCTTATTCTCTATATCTCCAGTTATAATTTAAATGCGATTAGTTTAGACCTAAGAACATTCCCTGGAATAAGCCTTTACGATTGCTCAATTAAATTGGTTGAATCGAAGGCAAGCTACATTCAACTTTATTTATTTACTGCTTGTATATATTGTTGAGTGATTCTGGTGGTCATCTGTGCTTTTTATCATCCTTTTCACTTCACCATTTGATACTTGCTGTGTCAAGAATTAATATAAAAAACTGAAATCGCGATTGATATGCCAATAATATTTAAAGATGCCACTCGATATTTCCATCTAAAGAAAATAATCTGACAAATTGAGAATTGATTATTTTCCTGTTAAGAATATTTCATATTGTTGAAGGTATGATCATTGTGGTATACTAACTGCATAAATGCGTCTATGTATTGATTAAATAACTTTCTATTAATCAATATACACATTCTCATTAAATTTCGGTTCGGACTAACGATCATTAAGTTATCAAAACTCACTTTAAACAAACTTTTACCACAATTTCATTTCAAAAACATTGTCTGCTAAACTAAATTGCAATCAATCCTGATTTACATACACATATTCCTATATTTTTTTTATAAAATACAGTTAAAATCTTAGAAATCATCGCCTGACCATCTTAATATATTGTCTTCAGAATGCAAGCAATTTAAGTAGCAAGTAATATATTTATATATATATATATATATAAAGCTAATTAATATATAACATTGAAGTTCAAAATCGATTGTTATAATGCATAACTGAGCATTTTAGAATTATTTAAGGTAATAATTTCAAGTTTAAAATGTTCAGCGAGAGATATTACAGCACACCAATTATTTACTACATAAATACAATCGTAACCAATTTCATAACAATATTATACCGATAACCAACACCAATACATAGTTATAGAGAAGCGTTATATCACTAAATCCATATATATATATTTATTATATAACCCACGCCATATCCCATATAACATAATACTTGTATGTAATCGTGAAGTGATAAACTAAATTTCTGTATGCCTACAAACGCCACAAGCTCTGGACAAGGGTGCAAAATAAATTGCTTTTTTTTTCAATATATATAAATGTGTCCGGTTGCCAGAAAACAGTCCGAAACTTTGTCAGAAAAAAAAATATAAATACTGTTTTTTATTTTCACGCCTGGCAACCCAGATTCAAAATGGAGGCCAAGCGTACAAGGTGGGGTGTACATATGCAAAAAATGCGCAAGCCTCGTTTATCTTTAATTACTTACTGGTAGGCTGTTCTTTCTTTTCATAAACGACTCTACCATCGGGTCCTAGTTCGTGTGGATTTTGGAAACAGAATCAAATTTTAGTATCAGGAATACTAAATAGTGCTTGTTTGAGCAGTTATCGTTTGTGGCGTTGTCACACTAGCGTTGGTTAGTTCGCTATGAAACAATCACACAATACGTCTATCCGATCACATGACGACTAGACAGCCTAACTTAATGATAAAACTAGATAAGCTTACATCGGAATCGGTAGACAAATTGACTATTCCTTTTTTACAGGAGCTTTGCGTTATATGTATATAATAAAAATATAAAATGTACAATATAATATGCATGTTACAGAAGCCTGGTATATAGCCTCAAGAAGGAGCCAAAAGGATTATTAAACGTACTCATAATAAAGTACATTTTACTAGTAAAAAGTATGTACATAACTAGTGACATCACTGTATAACCCGTCTTGGCAGACATTCTATTACGAGGAAATGAAATAACGTGACTTAGAATTTTGAAAAGCAATATTTCACCTCAGGTTGTTGGTTCCATAGAAAAAGTTCAGTATGAAAAAATTATTACATAGAAGTAAATTTCTATGAAATAATATTAATATACGAACACATTCAAAATACACTAAAATCTGATCAGAACACCGAACATAACTGCTTGCTATTCATGTCTTGTTTTAAATTAAAAAAATACGAATACATTATTTTTTCTTGCTCATTTCAGCTTTTCTTTCTCATATAAGTTCGGTGACGAGCCTTATAATAGGATATAATCTTTAGATATCAATAGTTGAAGTAAATAAAGCTATTCAGCATAATATTAGTCAATTTATCTACCGATATTCCACAAACGTTAGCCAGCAGGTCTTTTGTCTTCGGGCCTACCTTCTTGGACATCGATGCCCTCAGCCTTGAGCAGCTCCCGAAGTTTGAGTATCTCTTCTTTGAGCTCGCGGATAAGCTTGGCATTGGCGTCCTCGTTGACAACAGCCTTGCAGACAATTTGTTTAGCGCGGTCTGCGTACCTGTTCAATATAATGTCGGGATATATAGTCTGAACTTAAAACTTTTATCTGATTTATACCCAAATTACACAGAGCTTGGACTAAGGGATTATGAACACGTATAAACATATTGAGATATTATTCATGAAAATAAGCCAGACGGATGTAAAAACACATATCCATAGAAGGAATAGAACCTGCTACCCTGACGTGGCCGCGGAATACATTACCGTCCCTCCACAGTGCGCCGTACGTCATGATACTCCTGTACGACAATAACTATAAAATTTAGCTTTTGTTTTTTTACAAATCCTCGAGTCATGGCATAATTATTTAAGCCAATTAGTGTATCCGTCTATTCCTTTTGGCATAAAAATACCGGATTTCTAAATGTAACTTACTGCACAAACAAATATAGTAATTATGTAATTTATATCCAGTATTATACGCTTTTAGAATTGTTAAATATTCAAGTATATACATAATATACATACCTCAGTGTACTGAGGGTCTCGTCGAAGTTGATATCAGCAGGCGATATGGCAGCTATCATGGCAGTCTTGGAGTTACCGCCGAGGTTCTCGCGTAGTAACCACGTGAGGACCGAGTCTCGGTATGGAATGAAATCTGCTTTCTTCGACTTCTTGCTCTTAGAGGCCTGTCAAACATATGTATGCGTATTATTTTTATGTTAAACATTATATGTAGATAATACCTTAAATTCAATTATATTAAAAAATTTAGATTTTTTTATTTTTTATTAACATAAAATTTTACATACAATACTAATTAATTGACATAACAACAAAAAATCACGGCGTTTCAATCCCGTGCTATAATGAATCTGTCTACTGTTCGTTGTTTACATTAAACTTGCACAATAAATAAACAAAACACTAAATTATTTTTATATCGCTGCCATAAACACATCTACATAGGGTTAATAACATTAACATCCAGTAGAATAAATACATAGATAAATGTTTGATTACATATGTATAGCCAAATTAATTAGAATCCAAGCCACTAGCTCAACTCATGTACTGGACCTCTTATTAATTAGAGAGGTTTAATTACTTTTAAGCTTAATTCAATCATTGAAATCAAACCAATATAATTTTTTTAAGGAAGTAGGTAGTATCCTGCCGAACTTACAAAAGATAACGATATATCAATATCAAAGTACTTTTATTTAAGCTCGACAGAGCACCTTACCACAAGGAGAGCTTAGGGATATATATTTATCCTACGAGTACAATCTTTTTAATCTTTCTACTAGCCAACTACTCATCCATCTTAAGCCTTTTAAAGTCTTAAACGCTCCTACTGAAGTGCAGAATGAGATTGCAATATATAATGCTTGCATTGTGTGTATGTTATAAGCATACATACATTAAAACACAAACTTACCGACTACACATCCAATATGTAAAAGTTGCGTAAAACAAAACGTGTTCGATGTTAGTATGTAGCTTACACTACTTTTTAACAAAAAAGTAAGTATTAGTTTTTGAATGATATAACTAATTTCACCACCAACAGCCTTAATAATCCACTGCTAGACACAAGCTTCTCCTAAGAAAGGAGGTTTTAGCCCTACCATACTACGTTGGTCAGACGGGTTTGTGTCAAAGTTTGCCTTCTCTTTGCAGTGTTGTTGTTCTGCGTAGTTTGCTCCTTTAGTCGGCTCTTACGACCGCAATAGGATGAATAGGGGTGGAGACACTCCGTATTCTTAATCCGTCACCGTCACGGAAGTACAATGACTCATATACAATGAAAAAACTCAAGCTATATAGACTTAGGAAATTTATTCATACGAATATTATTATTTAAATGAAGTTAAAATAGCAAGATGCCTTATTATTTAAAGGAAGTTATGGTAGTGGTTCTAGCCACGGTATGATATCTGACCACAAGGTACAACACTCATAGTTTGTCATAGGATCGGTTTAAACATAGACAATTTTTTAGAAAGGTACTAGAAATAAATTATTTTTTAATTTATCTGACATCTGACACCACAACGCCATCTAGTTTCAAACTAAGCGGAGCTTGTACTATGAAAGCTACATTGACTGATAGATTACTTATATACTTGTTTTTGTAAAAAGATACATATTATACATAGAAAACCACCAAACTCGACACATTCTGACCCCGGAATCGAACATACTGGATACCACTGCACCACCAAAGCAGTCTTAAATTAGGTTGACACCCGTCACGGTAAATATATTTTATATTTCACATAACAAAAGTAGAAGACATAGGTTTTTCTGATATCTAAGTATTTTCAACAACGTTAAACGAGTATTTCCAAATATAAACAAGTGAAAATATTATAAATTTGGACAATTGGTTATTAGGGACTATATAGGTATGTTAATATAGGTATGGGTACCTCCTATTTTTCATTTGGAAGAAGTGTAATATAAATATCTTACTAGCAAATTCTGACACAATCAACATATTTTCTACTTGTATTCATAAAACTGTGTAATTTAAAAAATATTCACTTTTAACCCATCTAACTCGAGCATCATACATATTTTGTACTAGTAATAAATAAAAACAAATGAATAATGAAAACATTTAAATATTGACTTACAATCTCAGCAAGTGCAGAAATAACTTTTCCAAGTGTAGTGAGCGATTTATTGATGTTAGCGCCTTCTTTCAGGCGCGTGCCCTTGGCGCCGGTCGAGTCGGCGCGTTCAGAACCAGCCAAGTCCACCAGCGAGATTTTGGACACCTGCGACAGTTTGTAAAAATATCTTAAATTCTGTATCAACTTCAAGAAGCCAGATAGAACGTACTTGATCTATCGAAGACTGCTGATCTGTTTAGTAAATAAAGATCTCTAAATTAAAGTTCTTATGCTGATTAATATATACTAACGATCGCCTGGCTTTTGTGTTTCTAACTTTGAAAATGACGAACTGCCATACAAATGACCCCATAAAGGGGGTAAAATAAGGGATGAGCAGTCAAATAAAATCCTTTTTAGTGGGTGTTAACAACATAAAAAGTATTAGCAGTCAAAATTTCAAGTATGCAGCCCAAACGGTTAAGGCTCTGCGTTGTTGAATCAGTCAGTAAGTCAGACAGGGCAAGTTATACTATATGTATTGATAAACAGGTAATTAATTTTATTATATTAGTGATAATCATACCTTCTCAGACATGAGGTTGGTGACCTGGTCGTGTCTCTGCTGTGTAAAGAATATGGTAAAGACAGCATGAGAACGGGATGAGGTCTCGTTCATGTTTGTAGCTGCCACGGTCCTGTCGAAACAAACGTGGAACATTTAGGTAAATATACATTATTATGGATTATACAACACTATACATTTTACAAATATTCATATTTGTACAAGGCCATATATGCTAGGGCGTTGACGTGATGAACATCTCTGATTAAACCAAAAATATACATACATTTATATAATATATGACAGAATATAATTCGTTAATAGACGTTTCCATTTAGCCACTGATCACGTTGAATTAAGTAATTACACATATTCAAATTGCCTTCGTATAATCTATATTTATATAATCTAAGTAATAGTAGAAATGGAAATATGAATTCACATTTTAAGTATTTAGGCGTAAAAACGTATTGTTTAAGGCTTGCTTTCATTGAAATATAGCTGTACTAAAAGTTTACTTTAGAATTCTACAACTGTTTATTAGTATTTTTGTATTGTAATTCTGTGTTAATCATAAAATGTTTACACGACGTTTTTCGACGCACACGGTGTAAAATAATCACAGATAAGAAAAAATAATAGACCAGACAAGAAAGACCAACAAATCGTAATTCTATTTTTAAAATATCACATTACAACTACTTCAAATTTTGAACGAACTACTTCTTTAAATTTAAGGGTATGAGGTATAAGAGTCTATCTTACCTAGCTTTGTTACCCTCATCAATGAGGTCATAGATATCATGGTACGAGGTCACAGCCAGTTTGCTGAGGTCCTCGACGTAAGGTCCGAGCGCTGGATGCTCTCGGACGCGTAAGTTTCCTTTGTTTTTCGGGTTAAGCAAATCACGCACTCTTTCACAATAAATTTCCATGTACGACACTTCCACCTGAGAGAAAAAATATTAAAACCTTTATGTTTCAATTTTGATGACTTTAAAGTCACAAGTGTTCACATTTTGAAAGATGTTTCGATATTCGTCAATCTATATTTTAGTAGGTATTAATTAAATTCCGTGTTGCGCTTCATTCAAGGAGTTTTCTTATTGATTTTGAGGTATTCTAAAATATATATATCAATTACAGACACTTGTGTTTCAAAAGAGTGTAGTAAGGCCTATGTATAATTGTATCACCATGTAAATTAGAGTTGTTAAAATAGACAGTTAAAGTCAAGATTTACATATTTAAAACTTCAGCAGCGTGGCTGAAAATAACTGATTCTTATTTTTGCTACTTATACATTACACACTAATTTAGGTATATAAAACTCACAGAATATTTAAGATCATCGTTGGTTGTAGATTTAATGCGTCTAAAGAGATCCTTGCAAATCTGTGGTATGATGCCCTCCTGGCTGTCCTCACCGCGACCCATCATGGTGTAGGATTTGCCCGCTCCCGTTTGCCCGTATGCGAATATACATATGTTGTAACCTGTAAAGCAGTTATATTTACCGTTATTTTTACTTGCCTACTATTATTATTCTTCCGTTGCTGTTTTGCAGAAGAATGGGAATGGTGTTTCTTAGTCCTTTTAGTATCATTTTAAAGTCTAAGACGTGTTTAGTGTATGACGATAGTGTGGATTGGCTTATCAAAAGTTTTTTTTAGTTACATGCTAACTAAAAGCAATCAAGTTATTTCAACTTTAAACTTGCCGCCATAAACTATACGCTAACTTAAGTAACATTGTCAGCCTTGGATGTTTTCTAGTATGTCCATTACGACAGTTTAGATGAACGAGCAGCGCTCGACCTTCGCTACGTCACGGTAGTACCGTTTAACTTGAGATTAGACAATTTTTTGTCATAATTTTTACAGTAATATTCTCTTATACCGAAAGTTTTTTTAACCGTTTTAGTTTAGAAAAAATATATAGATATAGCTTTATACTTTGGATTCTTGGTTTAATACTTAGTACCTAAATTATTTTGAGACCTCCACGACTTCATCATTAGATTTGTTTTATGATTTAAAATCAGTGCCTTTGGAAGTTATTTACAACCTTTATAAGTAGCTGCTGCGAGTTTAGAATAGCTGCCACATTCGAGTGGAATTAATAATTCTGTGGCACACCAATCATTGCTGATATTCTGAGGAATTATGTGTCCTGGAAGCTCTTTGCACTCAGGCGGGAAATATGCTTGATGTATGAAAGTTATTTTAATATTATCTACTGAATCGGTAACAAGTCACACGACCCACCGCTTTACAGGTACATTTAATACAACTCTTTTAACAAAACCCGATTGTATTATTTGTGTATAAATAGTAAGTGAAAAACAAAAAGATCATAAACATAAATGAGTAGCAGTGCTTCCCGCACTACTTAGACATATAAACTTGCCTTTACATACCGAAATTTATCAAACCGTATCTGCTCTAGAGTGTGCAATGGAAACCTCACACACATTCTTGCGAATTCTCATAAATTAATAACGAAACCCACTAGCCAGACATTTTCGCCAAAATACTAGATGATCCGGCTTCAATTCCGTTAGAAATCCGATAAGTCCTTTTCTTTAAACTAATTTTAAATGTGATAACGCTCGTCTTACTTAAGGAATGGAAGGAAACAGATCTTTAATTATTGAAGAAAAGGTAATTTAATCTATACGAAAGTCTGTTGATTATTCGCAAAATTAAGATCGCAATTAGAATAAGCGGTTATCTCCATTGTAGTGAAAGTGGTTTTTTGAAAGTGGTAATTACCATCGAAGGCGTGGTTGTAACATCTCCTCGCCGATGTCTGTTGCTAGACCATGATTTGCGACGAGAATTGTGCATCACTTGGCTGTTGGACAAAAACAAAACAAAGAAATTAATAACGAACAAGGAACATTATAAAAGTTTTAAGGACTTTGATTTCTGATTGAACTAGGTTAGAATACGGAGGAATGGAACGCGGTAACCGCGGTACCACGTTTAGCCACATATTTTTTATATAAAAGACAGTTGACTGCACGGATAGCATAGTGGTTTAAGCGGTCGCCACGGCGCTTCCTACTACGCTGAGTGTTGTGAGTTCAATCCCCACATAGGACGACACTTTGTGTCCGTTTCATGTATGTTTGTAAAGTCCCCCGCGACACAGGATATATACCTAGTGCCAACATTGTCTTAAAAAGTAAAAGAAGAAGTTTTTTATTCTATTTACTTATTTAAAACAGTTTGGACATAAAACTACATACATAATATACATATATGAATGATGAACTTTTAAAAAGTAGCACAGATTTCAATGCGCGTACATCGTGACCAACTGTAAAAAAATGTATTCTTTATCACTTAATTTTCAGCCTTGGGGATGTAAGTTTTTCTGCAAATTTAAACACTACTAGATGGAAAATATACCTACCCTTTCAAAAATAAAAAGGTTTTTTTATAAAAGAGAAAAATCGGTGCATAACTGATAGAGTTCTAAGGTAACAAACATGAAAAAAAATATCCAAATTAAAATTCCACTCCTTTTTCGAAGGCAGTTAAAAATATGTTCTCAATCCATGATTGATTATGACTATTACAATTCAATTTATTTTTATTGCTCATAAATTCGTTTTAAGTATATAAACAAAGTTTAACAAACGATTTGAGTTTCTTTTGGTAATGTAGGTATAGCTGGTAGGTAACCCTTTCTTTTAAGATTGTATTAAAAATCTATTAGGTTAGTTTCCGAGATATATTTTAATCAATAAATTTATAAAACAAAATAGTTAAATACTATTGTCCTTTTGAATAAAAATAGCTAACCTACATAAGAAAATGTAATAAAGTAAATTAACATAATGTCTGGTATGGAAGGGCAGGCGCGTGGTGGCGAGGCGACGCGCATAAATTTGTATAATTTACCAAAATTACGCCTCATCTACATCCCTGACATTTTTGTTTTCAATTGCAAAAAACAAATTTTTAAACCCCAAATGTTTCTGAAATAAAAAAATTTTTCCCCCCCCTTTTAAATGTGTATTTTT